CAAAGGCAACAGATGGGATCAAGGTACCGTTGAGCCATGCATACACAGCCAGGGAAACAGCGGCCAGGGCAATAGGGCTGGTGATCCACATGCCGAAGAGCACAGTGTCACCCTTGAAAACCTGCCACAGGGCTCCCAGTTCCTTCTCTCGCATAGCCAGGATGCGCTTCTCCCACTGAGGCTCAAGCGCGGAAAACTTGATCTGGCGCATTCCTACGAGGGCCTCGTTGACCACGGCCAACTTTTGATCACGGATCTTCATGAGCTTATCTTGCGCCTTGGAGTATACCTTGGCGTACGAGAAGTTGATGGGAAGGAGGATAGCCCACGCGAGCAGTCCAGCACCGAGGGGTCCCCAGCCAAGCAAGTAAACAAGGAACCAGATGGCAACGAGGAGCTTGGCAGCGCTAGACGGGAAGAGGAACTGGAAGGCGGCGAAGTCGGAAATGCGCTTTGCGTCGACGCCAATCAGATTGATGATGGCTTGCTTCGACTTGAGCACGTTGTCGTCTTCGGCCTCTTCTTCATCGCCCTTCTTCTTCTTGTCATCCTTTGCATCGGTCCTATCGTCCTTCTCTTCAGCTTCCTGCTTGGAAGCCGCCTTGACGTTCTTCCTTCGCATCGACTTCTCAAAGATGAGGGCAGAGAGAGCGCCTCTGAGCGGAATGCAGAGCTCAGCCCAGGACAGCCAGAACATGGTCGCCTCAACCCAAGCATCGGCCAAAATGACCAAGCCAAGCCAGAAGACCAGAATCCAGATATCGGCAGGAAGATCTTCACCGGGCTTTCTACGTTGAAGGGTCTCAAGAATTTGAAGCGTGATCCATGACGGGGCAAGACTCAAGAAGGCCTTGGAGATGGCAATCGACCATTGGACGGCCAGGGGCACTCGGTAGGCCCAGATGATGGACCACCACAGGTTGGCCTCGGGCTTGAAGTTGTACGACTTCCACGACGCTGCCGAGTCTTCGGAACGGGTCAAGTGGTCCGGCTTGGGCAGGTCAGACGCATCAAGGTCCTTCTTCTTGGTGGCCAGGTCGATGATCTCGCTGCACCAGCCCCAGGTGAAGCGGCTGTAGGCAGGGACCGTCCTGAGGCGGTCGACCATCTTGCCCTCGAAGTAAACATCCGGTCTCCTGGGCAGAGCGACGCTCGTCACAATGAGACCCAGAGTGAGAACCAGGCTCGCAATCTTGAGGCCGAAAGAGACGGGGTTGTTGGATAGAAGCTCATCAAACACCTTGGTACCCTGCAAGATCTGGACGGCAGCGTAGATCAAACCGGAAAGCCAAAGCCATAAACCGAGGCTGTAGGATTGGACAGGGTCATTTGAAGCGGCGATGCCCACGGCTTGGAAGGCCAAAAGGATCTGTTTCATGTCAGCATTCAACCAAAGGAGACGTCGCTAGGAAGAGATTCGCATACCGAAATACCAGTGGAGAGCCATTCTGCAATGAACAAATTGTCGTATTTACCAGTGTGAAGGGAGAGCGTTGCCAGGATGGAGTTTGCCAATGAGACGGCCAGACCCAAGAAAGCGAATAAGAAGATGAAGGTTTTGGGCCAGCGGTTGGAAAAGGCGGCAGATGACTCGGCCGTGGCTTTTCCGTCTTTATCTTCGTAGAAATGGTCCTTGGGTTTGCGAGATCGAAGTTGTTGAACGAGTCCTGTAAGGGCCGGGACTGAAGTGAGAGCGATTACGCCCAAAGCAGCTCCGACCTCTATGAACAAGAGTGATTCATCTTGCATGATGGCACCAAAGTGTGGGTAAGAAGCCTGAATGACTTGATTCCACAGGTCGGATTCTGAGGTTGAGAATTGACCGTAGTTGACGTTTGGAAAACGGGTGGCAAGCGGCGGCTTTACGATGCGCTTTTGTTGGTGTGGCGGATTTAAGAAAAAAAAAACGGGCGAAGAGCCGGTCGGAAGATCCACAGTGAGGTCCAAGTTGGTTTGTAAGCTGCTGCCTTCTGGAGACGCAGTTCCAAATTGGCAAGGACTCTTCAATTTCCTTTGAAGCTCTCAGATCGGGTACCTCGAGTAAGGCACTCAGCACCGCTGAGAAAAAAAAAAAGTGCTGACGTCGGGTAGTTCTGCTTTCGGCTTCTCCAATTCGGATGGCGGGCCGGGTTCGAAGAAACGCAGATTGTTTGCGCTAGTTGCAGGTTTCACCGACTGTCTGGAGGGAAAAGCCGGGGATGTATGAATGGACGGATGGACTTCTCCTCGTCGGAAAAGAATAGCGATTGCGAAAGGAAACACTGAGGAAACGAAGAGGATTGCGTGGTTCGGCTTAGTGGGCGCCGATACGGAGCCGGTGGGGGTGTCGCGGTCTCAAAGCTTCGTTTCGCTGACGTCGCTGACGGTGTTGCTGGTCTCTGCGCGCGCCTTTTTCGACCATGCGCGGGTTTTCGGTGCGGTGCGGTACGGCAGCGAGGAATTGGAGACACACGGGGACGGAGAACGGCGGGGGAGGTGGTCCAAAGGGAAGGGGGGGAAGAACGGCGGAACGGGGAAGCCAAGATTGAACGGACGCCAGAAAAGCGGAAGCCTCAGGATTTAAGAAGAAAAATGGTCAAGGGGGAAGAGTCAAAAGTCAGTCCCAATTGGATGGGAGAGAGAGAGAGAGAGGAGGTCAGAGAGAAATCTACAATCGTCCTTGAGTAATACTGCCTAGGCAATTGGCAAGGTAGGTACGGGCAAGGAGAGGAAAGAGGAGCCGCTTCTGCTTCCGCGTCTTGCTTACCCATCCCATTCATTTTCTACGGAGTACCTACTTGGTAAGTTGGTAGGCATTTCTCATGAAGCTTACGGCTTTACTCCGTACCCCCAGACACCTCACACTGACACGCCCCCAACGCTGCCTGCCTGGTTGCAAGCGGCTGATGCCATTGGCTAGTGGACCAAGATAGCGTGCCGCATTTCGCATTTCGCATTTCGCAGTTGGCATTTTTTCGATCTAGGAATCCGGAAAGACAAGACTCAGTTCAGGTGGACACGGCAGGACACCACACACCATGACACACCCCGGCCAGTGGACGGCGGCGGCGTGCGCGCGCATCCCCCATCCCCCATCCCCTGCGATGCTGCCTTTTCGGCTGACTGGGATGATAGGGCTTGTGGTGCACCGTGCACTGGGATCCCATCCCATCCCCAATCCACCACACAAATGCGCTTCACGGAATCACAGTTCACCACCACAGCACCTTCTTGAACCCCCCACTTTGCGATGCACTCTGGAATCCAACTCTGATCTCGCCATCCGCATCGTCGTGTGCCATCCTTGACCTGCCTCAAGCCCTACTGCGCGGGACCTCGACCTGCATCACTCTGCCGCGTCTTTGCAGATTATCCGACATGCGCCGGGTGCCTCAGACGCGGGCGTGACGCTGTCGCCTAGCCGGGCCCTAGGCAGCTAACCTCGACGACAACGACGACGACGATGATGACATAAAATCTCGAGGCATCAAAACACCTCCGGCTTCTGTTCGCTGGCAGATGTAGCCGATGGGACACTTTAGCTCCGTCAAATCCGCACTTTAGGTATACGAAGAATTGACGTCTGGCACCCGTTCGTCATGCTGCCACCGCAACTGCTCTGTAATCCATGAAGCATGTCGAGACTCGAGGGTCCCCCCCCATCACGTCGGCTCCGGGTGCGGTGGTTGGCCGACGACGCCGTTTCGCCGTTTGACTCATCGGCGGGAAGAAGGGACACCACAGGGACAAGCCAGATGTGGTAGTCTGGCAGATCAGTTCAATTGAAAAAAATCCAAGCGATGCCAGATGGAGGGGTGGCGCGGGCGGAAGTGGAGTTTCAACTTGGCAGAAGTTCCTCTCGTGGACCCTTGGTGCTGATACGGCGGCCCGGGGTGGCCTAGCACGCTTTCTTGCCTGTCCGTCCTGTGGGTGGTTGGCAGGTGAAGGACTGATTGACCCAAGTATGTATGTACCTACCTCAAGCACGCAAGCCGCAGCAATGGAAGCAAGGAAACAGAAGCGGAAGAGAAGAAGGGGAGCAAGGCGGAGGTGGGAATACTCGTACCAAACTAAACAGAAGGGGATGAGCCTCGCCCTCGACGTACCTTGTTAATGCATTAGCCCCAATGCAGTCATCCTGCATTAACATGGCCTGATGCGCATGCCTGCAAAAAAATTTAAAAAAATTTGCAGCTCTCCTCGGCGCGCGCCTAAGGTACGTTAGGTAGATTCCTAGGTAGAAGACCCCCATCCGCCCGCCTCGCTGGGTTGCTATCCTGGCACGAACCCCGTATTCTGTCATCAATCGAGGGTCGAATTCATTGTTTTCTGTCTTGTCTCTTCAATTGCTTGGGCGAAGAGTATGAATGGCGCGTGGCATATTCGTACGACGTGGTGATTGTGCCCTATTCCAGCCGGTCGGATCGAGGCCAGACTTGTCTGATGCGTCATCCGTCATGATCTCGAATCAAAGAAGCATGCAACCCCCCGCCTGTCCCTTGCCTGCCGACCAGCCGGTTCCTCTCGTCAAAGCTGAATCCGAGACTTGGTATCCGTAATCTCAAAAAGACTCACAAAGTCCAGTCATAGTGCTGGATTAGGAAGGAGAGTTTGGAGAGGGGCGCGCGATGCCAGGTGGTGGGAGGCTCTAATTTGCATGGGCGGGACTGCGCCGCAGCATATCGTTCATGGTCCTTGGATGATGGATCATGGCGGAGGTTGAACTGGGGGGGATTTTTGGGAAGGGCGGTCAGACTAGCAGATCATGGGTTGTGGGTCCCCCGCCAGCCAGCCGTGCCAGCCCGGGCCCGGGCCCAAAAGGTTTGCCAGTTGCCCTCGAGTCGTGTGATGGGAACCGTTTTTCCCGCTTCCCGCTCTCCTGCCGTCCGCTAAATGCTGACTGCTCTTGCTCTCTGCTTCTCCTTCCGTGACCCGTCGTCCCACTAGCGGGTTTTTTTTTTTTTTTTTTTTTTTTTTTTTTTTTTTTTTTTTTTTTTTTTTGCAACTTGCAACTCGACGTTTAGAGATTCGTCGTCACTTCAGAGTCTTGGGAGATTGGTCTGGTCCTGTTGCGTGCAGGAAGGTCCATGTCGGGTTGATGAGTGGCTATCTGGCTGCTGTAGGTAGTTCTTTCCGCGTGTCCATGTAGCTACATGTCGGAAGGTATCTGTCTGTAGCCTATAGGGGCAGGAAGGCAGGAACAATGACGCATGATCGGAAAGTATGGGTTTCCTGTTCGTGGGTTTCGTTCTTTCTTCCTCTGTCGAATCGTCGATGAACGTACTTTACTCACCTAACCCTCGAACCTGCCTCAACTTCCTCAAGAGTCAAAAGAGGGTCCCAAAGTCCAGGCAGCCGCTGACACACCATCTCGCTTACCCCCGCTCGGTTTCCCATACTGCCCGCCCTGCTATCGACACGCATTCTTATCACATTTCTTCCTTGTCCTTACTTTGGCCGGCGAGCTTTCCATATGACATTGCAAGGTGCTGACTGCATCAAAAGGATGCGGAAAGAGATGAGAAACAAAGTACTGTGCCGCAGAATACGACCCCCAGCCCAATCTCTCGTCTTTCGATCCCGTGAGCTCTTTATCAGCAGGAGAAGCAGACCTTCCCAACATGCTGATCCTAGGACTTCTGGCGTTTCTTGCTCGCCTTCCCTTCATCCAAGGTTGACGGGATGGAGTGTCGTTGGAAGAAGACGCGGCTACTCGGGGACTTTGCTGCCTTGCCAAGGCTGCCATCCTCCCCCCTCCCCGCACCGGGGCTTTTGCATGGGTTGGATCTGGCAGCCGACGACAAATCGGCCGCTCTTGGATCTAACTCGCCGTCGTCATTGCCATTCTTTCTTTTCGTTTCATCTTCTCTCTCAGTCAGACATGAACTTGAGGTGTTTTCCGACCCGACTCATGATGATGCACCTGCGACCGTTCGGCATGTGGGCTGGAAGCGGGCCGTGGCTGTGAGAGACTGGACCTTAGGTAGGTAAGATGCTGCACATCAAACACGCGGGCGATTTGAACGTTTCGAAACGCAAATGTTTGGTGACATAAGACGGGGGGGGGCCAACTTTTTTGGTGTTGTGTGTCACAACTCACACATCGTTCGGGCGAGTGAGTCTTGTCGGCGAAGAAGGAAAGAAATAAGGCGACATGCAGCCTCTTTTCTCCCCTGTAGACGAAACTGACCGAGGGGGCGGGCGGCTTATCCCAAAGAAAAATGCCCACATCTCACCTTGCGGTATGCAATGCGCGCGAAATGCCGGCGCGGTGTAACAGCTGCGATTCGGTTTGAGGCTTCTGTTCATGTTCTTAATACTGCGATTGGATGAGCCGGCGAACTTTGAAGCCTGCGGTGCTGCGTTACCTACCTTTTTTCCTTCACCGCCGACGCGGTGCAGGTTTCTTGGCGATGTCGGCGGCGGTTGTTGATGCAGCTCATTTGGGGGTGTTGTTTTCTGTTGGTTAATGGAAACTGGGTTTTTTTGGTGGTGTAGTGTCACGAAAGTGGTTACGAAAGGTGAAGCAGAGGGGGAAAGTTGCCTGTCATGGTTTGACTCAAACGGACGAACGCTCTCCCGACGGTATGACTGGTACTGGCATTTGCTGAGATGAATGACAACTCAATGTCCCTCACGCCTAGCCTGACGGTTGAAACCGACCGAGATTTGCAAGCCATTGCTAATACTCTACCAACTTCCATTCATTCGTGCTAGGTACGGGCGCTGTGATGGTTTCCTCACTGTTGCAACCGAAACTACCTTACCTTAATGAAACAGGGCTGAACTTCGGGTATGATAGCCGGTGTGGTGGATCGGGCCGTCTGGGCTGCAAACTAGTAGTAATACTTCGCAAGTGTTCTTCCTTGAATCGGGTTTCGAAAGAACGAGTGATTCACGATGAGTTGGGGGGCCCTGGGGGATTGTCAAAAGCATCCATGAAGTAAAAGATGCCAGGTTGAAGCTCTTCAGCGTAACCAATAGCGGTAAGTAAAAAAAAAATTGATAAAACGCATGTTTCTAGAAGTGAGGCCCTTTCGTTACGCTAAAGCGGGAACGCGGAAAAGCTAAGCGATGCGCTCGAGAGTTTCCATGGGGCTCAAAGACGGAGACAAAGTGGAAATTCCCAATAAACCAATTTGCTTTAGACGTGCATTCATTGGCGGGGGGCCTCAGCCCTGTGTGCACTGGTGCGGTAGAAACTGGAACTCACCAGACGTCTAGGGCACGAGTGTCGGCCGGCATGAGGCTCAAGGGGAGAATTGCAATTGTAATTGTCTTCTGGGGTTGGATAATTATCAGTTTCTTGGCTGTACAATGACAAGTTACGAGTAAGGTATGTCGAGTTTCTCAAGCCAAGACTGATTTGTTCACGAGAAGCTGGACAGTGCTGCCGATACCTATTAGGAAGTTGGAAGTGTGCAAGTGGTGGCAGCAGCAGAGTTGAAACCAGAGGGAACTGGCGCAATTAACAGGGGAGAGAGTGCCAACGAAGTCCCCGTAAGCTTGAATCAGAGAACTCTCTCTTTGGAATCTGGGCGAAAAGTCCCTTCGTTTCGAGGTGTTGCGCCGATTGCTTCAAACCCGCCTACGAGTGCGTCGATCCTCCCAACACCTTGCAGCGCATGAGGCTCCGGCCAATCAAAAGTGGTGGAAACGCAAGCGATAAGCTTTGCGCCCTGGGTGATGAGTCCAGGTCTGCTGATGAAAGACGGCTATTCTCCGGTAACGAGACTGAAAGATTGGCAGCCTGATTTGACTCTGCTCAATTTGGGAACGATGTTTGCTTCAAACGCATCATTTGCTCTGATAATAGTATACGGATGACCAAAAGCAGAAAAGAAAAAAAAAAAAAAGCAGAAAAGATTCACGCTCTGTTCAAACCCCAAAGACCCAGTCGAAGGCATCTTGGGAAACGGCTGTAGCCAATCATACGCGGCTACATACACCAAACAGTGGGTTGCTCCTCCAAAGACTTTCTCTGGCGGAGCTGTCTGATTGGCCACAGCAACGTCCCGGGCGCCTTACGGCGAGCATTTTCCCTGCCGTTTCCCTGCTCACGGCTGCTCTCCCCGATTTTCGATTTTCTCGAGATGCAGGGCCCTGCCTCCAATGTTCCGCCGGGGTGCTAAGTAAGCTAAAATGATGCTGATGCTGGGCGCTGCAGCTGCGACAGGCTCTGCAGGTCTGGTTGCTGTAGCGGCTGGAGCAGCCTACCACACCACCCAAGGTACAATTGGTGGTGGGACACACCAGCCCGGTATCCGTACAGGCGGACAAGCCGCAGTTGCAACAACAATGGGTGCCCTGGGAACTCCAGTTCCTTCCTGTCCTTGCAACAGCGCGTGCGTAGGAGCCGTCTGAGCTCCTGTAAGCCGAACCAAACCACACCAAACTCCACCCTGCCCTGCTCGGGAACGACCTTTCATCCATTCTTGCGCCCTCGTGACAATTCCCTGCCAAGTTTAATTGATTTCCCATTTTCGCTTTTTCCTTCTTTATCCTCCCTCTCTATCCGTACAATTCCAAAAAATACAAGTCCTCGTGTGTCGTTCCACGCGGTACTAAACCTCCTGTCAATCCAACCCTCCCGATCCGCCAATTGAGGTTTCCCGCTTAGCAGCTGCGAAATCGACGCTGCTGCAAGAGCTGTTGCCCGTCGACCAATCTCCCGAGCTGCTGTTGCCGAGCTAAGGAGAAGCTCGACCTCCTCAGCCTGCCCACCCCTCATCCAACCTCATCCCACCGCGAGCGCCGCACGAAGCTTCCCGACTCGAATCGACGATCGCATTTTACCCCCCGACAAGCTCCTCGGAAACGTCCAGCACGGCCCGTATTCCATTCTACAAACTACCCATCGTACGAGCGGCCATCATCACCAACCCGCCCCACGACCACCCACGTCCACCCACGATCCCGCACATGTCTCGAGACGGCCGTATACACAACCAGTCACGATGAAGAGCACGCCGCTTATCATCAATTGGCACGACCAGAATGCCCCCGTCTACTCGGCCCATTTCGAGCCCAACGGCAAGGGCCGACTAGCTACGGCTGGAGGAGACAATAACGTGAGAGTACGTCAGACACCTGAACTGGCGAGCATGCCACCTGGTCCCACGCGTGACCCTGCGCTGCGATGCTGACAAGAACTCCAGCTTTGGAAGGTAGACAGCGATGGAGAAGATCGGAAGGTCGACTATTTGTCAACCTTGAGCAAGCATACACAGGCAGTTAATGTCGTTCGATGGGCCCCCAAAGGTAAGAATCCAATTTTCAGACAGACGCCCCATCCTGCATTCGCTGACTTTTTTCTCATGCAGGCGAAATCCTCGCTTCCGCCGGCGACGACGGCAATGTCATCATATGGGTCATGTCCGAACACAGCGGTCCTGCCTTTGGCAACGAGGGCCTGGAGGATAAGGAGACCTGGAGAACCAAGCATATGTGTCGATCTAGCGGATCCGAGATTTATGACCTTGCCTGGTCTCCTGATAGCTCCTATTTCATCATTGGGAGCATGGACAACATTGCTCGAATCTACAATGCCAGCTCTGGTATGTTTTCTCTCTCGCTAGTGATGGCGTATTCTACACTCGTATCTAACAAAGACAGGTACTCTTGTGCGCCAGATTGCCGAGCATAGTCATTACGTCCAAGGTGTTGCGTGGGATCCTTTGAACGAGTACATTGCAACCCAATCCTCCGACCGATCCGTCCATATCTATACGTTGAAGAATAAGGATGGCCAGCACACACTGAGCGGCAACCACGACGACAAGCCCTCCAAGATCGCAAGCCATAACAAGAGTGACTTGCCGCCACGCCGCATATCCTCCAGCAGCCCTGCACCTCCTGACTTCGGCATGAGGACCCACCTTACTGTTGAACAGGCCATAGGATCCCCGGTTCCCTCCGCCCCCGGAACTCCCACCTCAATTGCATTGCCGATGAATCCTCCCAGTGTGATTAGCCACAGCAGGAGGTCGTCGTTCTCATCTAGACGATCCCCGTCTCCGGCTCCATCAATGCCGCTGCCAGCTGTCATGTCCATGGAGCCATCGCCAAAGCCTCACCCCTCTGGCGGCCTTGGCATGAAGAACTCGACGCTCTACGCCAATGAGACTCTCTCATCCTTCTTCCGACGCTTGACTTTCACCCCAGATGGCAGTCTTCTACTTACTCCAGCTGGCCAATATCAAACTCAACACAGTTCAGAAGGAAATGCGAAGCCCACATTTGAGGTCACCAACACCGTCTACATTTACACGAGAGGCGGCATCAACAAGGCGCCGATTGCGCACTTGCCTGGTCACAAGAAGCCTTCTGTTGTGGTAAAGTGCTCGCCAATATTTTACTCGTTACGGACATCGCCTCCTGTGACCAAGCACATCACCATCGATACATCATCCTCTGAAGACCCCATTCCTGCACTGCCTGAACCAGTCTCGAAGCCGGTGACATCTAGTTCGGTCATGGACCCGCCCCCGCCGCCAACCTCAGTCCCCGAGTCCAGTTCTACACCCAACAAGACCGACTCTAGCGCCTCTACCCCTGGCCCCAAGGCAGCCTTTGCCCTGCCTTACAGAATGATCTACGCTGTCGCGACTCAAGACGCCGTTCTTCTTTACGATTCTCAGCAGCAGACACCTATCTGCATAGTCAGCAATCTTCATTGCGCGACTTTCACTGACCTGGCTTGGTGAGTAATATGTGCTGCAGCTTGAGTTGAGACGAAGCTAACTATGTGTAAAGGTCAAGCGATGGTCTCACTCTTTTGGTTTCATCATCCGATGGGTTCTGTTCTACCTTGTCTTTCTCGCCCGGCGAGCTTGGCCAGATCTACCAAGGGGATCTGCCCACTGCCAAGAACCCGACTGCTGGAAGCACAGGAGGGAGTACGTCGAATCAAACCACTCCGGTCCCTGCTCCCAGCTCAGCATTTGCCCCTCCATCACCATTTCCAAATGGCTCGGGTCACCATCACCGAAACTCGGCGAGCTCTTTTACCGCCCCGTCGCCGCCACCTGCTGGATTCGTCAGCCAGCGGCCTCAGTCGCCCGCTCGATCAAACTCTACCTCCTCTGTGGCGACTCAGTCATCGAATGTGGTGACGAACCCCTCGTTGATTGTGGGCAGCGTGCCCGGTATAGCTGTTGCCAATTCCACGAAGGTCACTGGCGTCCCCATCACCACGCCGCCAGAGACGCCGAGGACCAATGCTACCACGAACCCGACTCCAGCTGCATCGACTGCTGGTCCAGCAGCAAGCGGAACCAAACGTGAAGCAAGTGAGGGAGAGAAGGAAGAGGGCAGCGAGCCCAAGAAGAGACGAATCGCGCCTACCCTGGTGGAGCAGAAGCCGTAGAGGGTACCAGCTACTGTATGAGTGTTCGAATCTTGTCTTGTACAATGAAACATGGGTAAAAGCGTTGCTTAGTTGGAACACATGGAAATGAAGCAAATAGTGCGAGCTCTGATGGGCGGTGGAAGCCTTGAAAGGTCGGACCAGAGGTAACGGAAACTCGCGCGAAGGTTGCACTCGCGAACGAATTTTGCTTGCATGGCATGGCGTTATAAGGGTATAACAAGGGCTATGTAGCGATATCTCTATAGTCATTTGAATGAGGTGCCCCATTCACATGGTTTCTGTCTGGCAAGTTTTGTGATTATTTGGATGATGGCGGTACCTTAGTAGAATTGAGGCCGGCCCGGGGAAGATCATGACATGCCGGGTGCTTACGTAATCAAGTGGGGTCCGTGCAACGACATGCCAACTTTTGGTGGGAATTGTCACTTTCGAAGGCACCATATTAGCCATGTTACAAGCCTTTGGAAGTTGGCAACTTTCTGTCAACATTACGGAAATGTCTTGATAGTCTTTTGGGTACCCGTTTATTCATTTTGGAAAGATTACAATTCATTCTTTTGGGCGGTGTTGAGTTGCCCCGCCTACTGAATGTCCCATCTCATCGCCTTCAATCAAACCCGGTAGACAGACCATGGCGTCGAAACGACCGCCGAGTGTGGGGTTCATTGAGAATCCTTTTATCAAGAAAAGTAACTTGGAATGGAGACTTAATGTGCCAGGGTCCAAGACCGATGATGGCGGAGAGGGAGAGGGGGAGAAGGAGGAGGAGTTTGAGTTGCGAAATTGTGCAGCCGATGAAGGGCAGAATCGAGACCCTGTTGTGACGATAATAACTTCACCACCACACGAACCTGAGCCTGAAGCTGAGCCAAATACCGAGGCGATCAATCTCTCAGCGGCATTGGAATCCGGTGCCATGACGCAACCTGACCCTACAACGCACTTCTTCACCCACCTGGCGCAGCATACCCTCCACCCCTACCCCTCTCACACACCACACCTCTGCGCAGGACCAGACATCAGCGTCGACGGCAGCGTCGGTGGCGCTTCTTTGCGGGATCTCTTCCTCTCGCACGCCGGGTCGAAGCAGGGCGCGCACTTCGTGGTGCACCAGCACGACCACCCGATCGCGGGGGTGCATTATGATTTACGATTGCAGGTGAATGAGACGAGTAGTGTGAGTTGGGCGGTGATGTACGGGTTACCCGGTGACGCGAACTCTACGAGGTTGAATCGAAATGCGACGGAGACGAGGGTGCATTGTCTTTGGAATCATGTTGTTGAGGTGGGGAGTGGGGGGACGGGGAGTTTGGTTGTTTGGGATTGTGGGTGGTTTGAGGTTTTGGGGAGGGGGTGGAGGAGGGGGGATGGGCCGGTGGTTGATCCTGATTCGGGGGGGGATGGAGGTGATGATGATGATGATGGGGATGAGGGGGGTGCAATGGATGGGGAGGGAGGCGTGACGGAGCAGGAAAAGTTGGCGAGGGCGTTTGGGGAGAGGAAGATTCGGGTTAGGTTACATGGGAGTCGGCTTCCTGAGAGGTATGTGTTGAATCTGAGGCTTACCAAGGGGGAGGACGCGGAGGGGAGGCGGAAGAGCGCGAGGGCGCTTGGGAGGCCTGTGAGGAAGAGGAGGCGGGGTGGTGGGAAGCAGGCGAAGAAGAAGGAGGTTGTTGAGACTAGCTCTGATGGGGAGTCTGGTGATGTGGGGGATGGAGATGTTGTTCCAGATCCGCTTGATCGTGGTGATGGCGGTGGTGGTGAGGGAGATGAAAAGAAGTTGTCAGCTATGGAGAAGGAGATTCGGGAGGTGGAGGACGAGTTTGTGAGGAGGACGAATGCGTATCGGGGCGCGGAGAATAGTGTCGGGAGCGTGTATCAGCGGCGGTGGTACCTTTCGCTTGATCGGGAGGCGTGTGGGTTTGAGAGGAGGAGTGTTGGGGGGAAGAGGATCTGGGTTTTGAAAGATGGTGGCGGTGGTGGTGGTAAAGGGAACGAGGATCGCGGTGGCGGCGACGGTGGTGAGGTTGATGAGAGCGGGAGGCTGAGGTTTCCGTTCTACGTTCGGGGTCCTGACGTTGAGAGGAGTATTGTGACGGGTCGGAAGGGGGCTGAGGTTTTGAGGGACGGGTGTGTTGAGGGGTTTGTGGGGAGGACGGGTTGGAGGCCTGTTTTGAACTGAGATGTGTGAGTCTATTCAAGGTAGTCCACGGCTTGAGACTCGGGAATCAAGATTGGCTCTGGCGGGTGTGGACTTGGAAGGGAAGTGAGGAGGGGGCGAGAGGAATTCTTAATGGGACGGCACCGGGCTACTCGCCCAAACCCCAAGACTTCTCACACGAAATGACACCTGGCTATAGGTCCCTAATATGTAGCTTGACTTGCATTCACGTAGCTCAGGGCCCGAAGTGGTGGGCATGAGGCGAGCTGATAGGAGTTATGGTAAAGAATCCCGGCATAGGGGTTGAGGTTTCAGACGGACTTTGCTGGAACTTCACAACGGGAAACCATTTTAGTGTAAACATTATGATATCACATGGAGAATAGGAAGCAAAGCTAAGAGTTATTTAGTCATGTAGGTCTTTTTTCAGTTTCTCGGTACTCTCGGACTCGTCAAATTGCTCTAATTCTGACATACAACGTTCGTTCCAATCTTGTCATAAACTTCGTGAAGAATCAATCCGCGAGGCAAAAGTCCACCCGACACTAGTAAGAAATAGCTGCTCAATGATCCATTCCCATCAAGAGGCTCTCAAACGGAAGCTCAGTCAGAGTAGATATCCCCCTCTTCTCCCTCGCTCTCGCAGATCTCGCTCTCTCCGTCATAGACACTCCCACTACGAAGGTAGTCCCTGAAGCCGCGGCTCATCTTGACCACAGCCCGCAGGTGCTTATCCGTAACAGTGAATCGTTCGGTACCTTCCTCCGCAGCATCGCTCTCGGCGAGCGCCAGCGCCGTCTGAAGAGCATTGCGGATCTCACGCCCGTTCCACCGCAGAGCGCGCACGTCGCGCGAATCGTAGGCGTACTCACGCGTAGCGACCGCAACCCGCACGCGACCATGCGAGTCCCTGTCAAGGCGCTCAAAGTTGTTGGCCCAGATGCGCTCGCGGTCAACGTCCGTCAGATTCTTGTAGTGCAGCGCCACGTGGATGCGGGAGGTAAAGGCCGCGTCGAACGCCTGGACGCGGTTGGTGGTCAAGAAGAGCACGCCGCGATAGTACTCGAGCGCGCGGAGGAATACGGAGACGAGACCGTTGCGGGCAATGTCCTTTGCGCGGCGGCGCTCGAGGTAGACATCCGCCTCGTCGAGGAGGACGAGGGCGCCGAAGCGCTGTCCCAGCTCGAGGAAGTAGGAGAGGTTGTGTTCCACGCTGTGCGAGTTGACGCTGAGGTCGCCCGAGGTGAGGGAGATGAGGGGCCGGTTGGTCAGCTCTGCGACGCACTCGGCGGTGCAGGTCTTGCCGACACCCGGGGCGCCGTGGAGGAGGAAGATGCGGCCTTCGCCCTTGTTCTTGATGAAGTCGTTGGCCCAGGGTGAGACTTTGCCGGATTCGGCTGCCGCGAACTTGCCGATGAGAGCTTTGACTGTCATCTTGATCTCGTCGTCTAGGACGAGGTACTTGAAGGCTTCACGGTCCGTGATGACGGGCTTCACGTGGTCGAGGTTCAAGTGGCCCCAACGGCGGTCGCCGAGAAGGAAGGCTGGGATGATGTTGGTGCAGGCAATGTAGAAGATGTCAGAGGTAGGGGCCGGCGACGTCAGAGGGTTGATGTCGTCGAAGCCTGCGAAGGGTGACAAGTCGGTGCGATCGGTTTCCTTGGCGCATTCCTGGCAGCCGCAACGAGGAAGAAAGTGTGGGAGATGGTCTTGGGCAGGCGGTGGTCCATGGTGTTGGCCAGGCATCATGCCTGGAGGTACCACTTGACGTGGCGGACCTGGGGGGCCGTTCCGGTTCTCTGGTGCGCGGAAGTTGAAACGACCAAAGCCCTCGGCGTCGCAAATCACTCGGCCCGTCATCTGTTGGAGGTTTAGTTGCTGTAACGGGTAAAAAGGATCAGGTAAGAAGACTCACATAACCCGATGGACCACGGCTGAAGATTGGGCCCGAGTGAGACCCAGGTTGAGCCTGCACAAGCATTCCGTCATACTCCATATAGGTTGGGCGTTGGAGAAGCTCCCAGTATAGCTTGCCAAGCCTCAACTGCTTCTGGAGCATTGCTTGCGGGTCATTCTGGAAGAAGAAAGCCGGAATAATCTTCAGCGAAGGGATGATCTGCTCGCCGGTCCACGAAGGGATGGTGAACTGGGACATCTTTCGATTCATCCGGTTGTGGCCCATCTCGAGAACCCAGGCAACAACCTGCAAGTGGCGATTGTTGCGTCCGGTCGGAGAGACGTCCTGATAAGTGCTACTAATGACGTGGGGCTCCCAGAGATCATCATGGTTAACGTAGATGACCTCGCCTGGCTTGAGGGCCATCCAATAGTTCTGGAAGGTCGCAACTGGGACATTGCGACGGTGACGTTCCTCTTCAGCGCGGATAGACTCCCCGACAGCCTGGTCGATGAAATTCAGAAGAACATCAATGTGGTTCGCCGTCAGACGAGCGTACTCCGTGGAGTGGCCAGCAGGCTGGTGGAATCTGTACTGCCTGAGGGCGTTGATGTGGTGTACGATGACGCGGTAGGGAGCATCAATGGTCACCGTGTCTCCTAGAAGATTGACGTGTGGATAATATGCTACAACCGCCCTCAATGCGTTAATGAGGTGCGGCGAGTGGATGATCATCTGCGTGCGCTCGATCTTCCCGGCCTTCGCGCGCTCATCATCCTCGCTGTCTGAAGATGCCGACGTGTAATCATCGTCGGGATAGGTAATGTGCGGAGAGCTACGACGACGCACACGTCTGATCTTGGCATTAGTGTTGACCTTTGTCACGATCTCGAGCACGGAATTGACAGTCCGCTGAGTGGTCTCGCCGTCCTTCTTCCCGTAGTCGGGGATCTCCTTGAATGGATTGCTGCTCTCCCGGCCTGGTGATGTTAACAGAGCGCAGCGGGAAAGGGGGATTATTGTCGTTGACTTACTGTCGATGACTTTGCCACCGATGCCCAAGTATTGCAGAACGTATAGGATGTCCGATGGTGTCTCCTCTTCCAGGCTTCCCCTGGCTACCAGAGCCTGGCTTTTCTTGGTGGTGCGCCTGTAGTCAACTTCCTCGAAACTGACGGTAGATCCGGTTTCATCGTCAATGGTCTAGAGCTTGTTAGCTCGTTTGCGCAAAGAACTCAGAAGGGGAAATTCTTTCAGCAATCTTACATTGTCTGCCTGGCCACCCATGATAGAAAATGTACGTCAGACGAGAGTCTTGAGGTTATACGGCAAGTAGTATGATGAATTCAAAGAGAGATAAGCTAACAGATGACGCCAGACACAACGGAAGTCAAATCCATGTGGGTGAAACGATCCTTTTAACCCCCGCGACTCTTTGCGGCTCTCGGAATCATCGGCGGGCGGCAGCAGGCAGGCTGAGCAGCCAATAAGGTAGAACCCGGGCTTCCCTGCCAGGTCATGGTGCAGCAGCAGATAAGGCGAGAATTCACCCCGCATCTAGGCAAGTAACATGGTCGCGAAATGATTGATTGGTAGCTTGAAAAGACCAGTGCATTAGGCTTGCATGGGTGCGTTGCGTGGTGTAAGACAATTGAGGCAGCCGAGCAGCTTATGTTTCGTGAGGATGCCTTGCTGCCTGGTTGGCCGCGGACTGCCGCCAACAAGCGTCAACCTTGAATCAAGGCTGACTTGGCCAGCTGCATGCAGTCAGGTTGCGACGTGGGGACATTGGCCATCTCGTCACTTAGTTCAACTCGTCTTCCGAAAAAGTGCACCTCAAGTCTCATCACGAAACCAATGCCAGGTAGTTATGAAATGTCGGTGCCACATGCTAGGTAGGTCAAACTCGAGCCTACACTTTTGAGATGTCGGCGGCGGTGAACGGGTCTCCTTGCACCACTGACGCGATCGTCTCCGAGCATCTGAAAGCAATGCCCCAATATCGAGCAGTAAACAGAGAATGCACTGCTTCTTGCGACTTATGGATCATAGTAATACACCGTGAACTCCAAATGATACGCTTGATCTATACCTGCCAAGAAAGCCCCTTAACTTCATGATCCGAGTTCTGCCTTAAATGCGTCGAATTTGTGCAGTAATTATTGATTATTTGCAGCCCTCGCGCTCGTGTTCACGTTACTAGCGTGCGCAAGCAGGAACTTGCAGCACGTAAGGGTGAGCTTGCATGCCTTCGTCCACCCATCATCTTGAGCAATGCCGAGCTTGATGCTCACATCCATGATCTTGTCGCCCTCAATCTTATAGGGAAGGCTAAGTGGATGGCCATCGGCTGCCGTCTGTCGATGCACGAAAACACCAAGCTGCCGCACGAGCTCAAGGAATGCAACCATCGCATTATCGAATTTACGGTGCATAAAGGTCAATCCCAGGGGCAGATCTCCATTAGAGAAAAGCTCCAGGACGTGCTTCTTCGGAGCTGGCGGTGGTGCGTTTCGATGCGATCCTAAGCGACTGGCTGTTGGCGACGGGAGCTCGTACCGAATGATCTTTGAAGTGCTTCCCATGGGCTGTGGCTCAAACCCATCGAATTTGTAGCCTAACTTGTCGGCAACAGTGACTAGCAGAAGAAGGGCGTGGCCCCATGCTGCATTGATCTCGGGCCAGTCAACCGGCTTGTTCGACAGTCGGCCAAGACGTAGCCCGTTGATAGTAGCAAACGTGCCGTCGTGGCTGATGCAGAACGTGTCGTTGTATACGTTTGATCGTTGCAGCTTCTCCAACAGCTGAGCATCGTTGTCGAACCTGGAGTTCGTGCTGTCGCGCTCGTTTTGGAAGTCGGCAAGCTTGGTAGCAAATGTGTTACGTTCGCGCCAGAACTGCTCTTCCTCGTGGTCAAGCTGCTGGGATTCCTCCTCCAAAGCGATGATTTCCGCGTCCGCAGATGCCTTTTCCTCCTCCAAGCGTAACAACTCAGCCATAGCGTCTGTTTCCGCCTGCTTTGCCTTCTTCAGAGCTTCCTCTTGTGCTTTGACATCCTCCTCGTTCGGCTGGTCGCTCTGCACTTGTTTCAAGAAGCCAACGTAGGCATCGCGCTCCCTCGCCGCGGCCTCTAGCTTTTTCTGAAGGCCTTCTACGAGCATATCGGTACACTCAACGCAGATAGGATGATCGATATCGGATCGCGCGGAGAGGATCTCGAACAGCTTGTTGATCCGCTCTATCTCGTGCGCCTTGCTACCGCCACGCTGGTCATCAGGAATCTTCTGTCCGCCTTTTCCCCCCCTGTTTATTTTCGTATTCGATGGCAGTGGTTCGGGTCGGGAGAGCACCGGTTGGGCGACTTGTGATTCGGTAAGGTAGATGAAGGACATGGTCGAATCTCGTTGCGCCGAATTCGATGGCCCGCTGCCATGACGCTTGAAGGTAGCAGAAGCTGCATTTTGCGAGACCTTGTCATAGAGCACCTTTCTTTGGCCATCTTGCGGGTGATATGGCCGTGATGAAGGCGTCTTCTTGGGTGACTGTTGTGAGGAAGAGGCTGGTTCGGTTAGCTACCTTGCGCGCGCCGTTTCGGATGGGGGGAAAGCTTATGCTGACCGACGAGAAGATCGTATGCCGCAGGATTCAATTCCTCAAGGGAACTGTCCAGTTTGAGCGGCGTGCGACACTTTTGGCAAATCATTTTGCTGCGTCGCGCATGCTTGCAAGCTGCGAAATGAAGGGTTGAAGGTTGTAGAGGGAGGTCTTGTGATGTCACCTAAACCGCTGTGGAGGTACCTGCGGATGTCCTGCAGACGCTAGATTCACCCCCAGGGTGTCACCACCACCTTTGCTGACAACCTGATGAGACTCTGGTTATGTTCCACTTTCTGCTCACTTTGATTCAATCTAGACTCTCCGATACGTTTCTAATTGTTTCGGTCAAGTATCGTGATGAATCGACGGCACTCCGGACATTCCAAGGACAACTGAGGCTGTGGTACAGGTTAGGCGGTTCTCTTCGGTACCTGCGAACCTCACCCTCCGGTTTTGATTGTCAGCGCCCAAATGTCATTATTCAGCGAAGCCAAATAGTATTGATCCTTGGAATCATGTTCCAGAAGCTATACTAAAGAACGAGTTATAAGTTTACCACAACTTGCTAGAGCTAGATAGCTGGGGAAACTCGCCTCGTGATATTACGGATCAGGTGTCGTACACTCAGTGCAGCGTCGTCGGTGCCTCTGGCAACGGCAGTACCCCACTTGGCCCGTGCTTTCCACTTTACGCGAGAAATCAAAGCGTCCGTGCACCGCATCGAAGCGCGTCTTTCCATGCCGAGTTCATCAAATGCCTTGACGACGCTCATTCAGACCTCATCATTGCCGTTTCGTTATCCACTCTCATTGGTGTCTAAGCCACCGCCTTCTCCAACCGACATGTTCTCAGGGGTCTAAGGCTTCTTCCCGGCAATATGGAACCGCCCACAAAGAGGCCAAGGCTCGGTCAACAGTCGAAAGAAGACGAAGATGATGAACTCAACTATGAGCCCGAGGAGGTGTCTCAGATGCGGGATCCCGGCTTTCGCTTCGAGCAGTTCCGTGCCTTTTCCGCCTTCAAGCTGAAATCAACATTTGAACACATCTTTCAAAAGTACGAAAAGGACTTCACTGGTATCGGTGATGAGATCGACCTCAGGACCGGCAAGATCATTACGAATAATGGCCACTTGGCTGGCATGAGAAGTGAGAGAGACACTGGAATCCTCGAGGATGATGAGGAAGAAGACGAAGATGAGGGCGTACTCTTGGAGGAAGCATTCGCATCCGACGACGATGAGGAGGATGATGGCTCAGGCGAGGATGGGACCACAGATGCGTCAGACAACGAAGACGACGAAGAACGAATCTTACACGGCAAGAAGGATGAAGAATCTCACTCAGGGGCTCTCATAATCAAGCAAAAGGGCGAACTGCAGCGGCATCCAAATCGGTCAATCGCCCCTCCAGGTGAATCAATACCAGGATCCGGCCAGCGGCTGTCCAGCCTTGCTCAACCACGCCAGCCAGGACTCGGCACTTCGAGTCCTTCATCAAACGTTTGGGGACATGAACCAGAACCTGTCGACCCGACGTGGAGGGTCCCCGAGATTAGCAAGCCCAAACTTGGCGACGACTTGATGACGAGACTTTATGGTGCCAGATACCGCTTCCCCGCCAGTCGCGGGTTCAAGTCTTTATGGTCTTCGCGGCGCGATACCGAAGAGGAGAAAGCATTGCCCGAACCTGCTCAGATTGACATGAAGCAGCTCATCCGCGCGAGAAACGAAGTCCCGAGGATGGCGAGACCAATGTCAACAAAGCTACTGCAGGCATTTACCGACCAAGACGACGATAATGAAGACGATGATCTTGGGGTTGCCGTTGCAGATAAGGAACCTAGAGCTGCGAAGAAAACATCGGGCAACACGAATTCTACCTTGGAAGAGGCAGCAAGCACCAATGCCGAAGAGAACCGACATGAAGCTGAACCATCTACCGAAATGGAACCATCACATCCGAAACTGAACGTATCAAATGCCCTCTCCAGAGAGATTGGCTGGCTCAACCAGAATAAAACTTCTGTAAAAGAAGGCTCAAGGCCGAGGAAACAACTCGTTCCGGCCAAAGTCGTCAAACCAGCAGAAGCTCCCAAAGAGACAGAAGTTACCAACCCGAGTCAATCAACCGAGAAACAAGCTCAACAACAACCGTCAAACCTACCGACTAAAGTTAACGTTGAAGCTGAAATTGACCAGAGCCTCACTAGTTTTGTGACGGAACACGAGTTGCGGGGCAGACCAATGCAGCGATTCGTTATCGAACTATTTTCCAAAATCCCCTCTCCAGAGGAGATCACATTAGTCGAAGATCCCGAAGATATGGACATATTTGAGTCGGATCACCAACATGAGGCACTGACACCTCAGCTTGCTAACCTGACTGTCTCCGAGAACACTTCGAAAGGTCTTATGATGGAGGATAGCCCTGAGGCCGCCACGGTCAAGACGACTGCGCCAGTAGAAGCACCAACTCAGAAAGCCGCTGAACCGCCAAAAGAAACATTTGTCAGGCATAAGATCGACCCCTCGTACGACTTCTCTGATGACGATGAAGGCATTCCCACGACTCGCATTGGAAAGCTTCGCACCAAGGGGAAGACAATTACTGTTCCAGGCACGGTCGAGGTGGCGACTGTAATAGAGGCCACGTCCGAGCCTTCGAAAATAATTTCCATAACGGAGGACTGCCGGTCATCTCATATGGAGTCCAATGACGCACCCTCCACGGCCAGCGAGGCTTTGATAGAGCCTAGTGGCATCAATGCCAAAATTTCTGAGCAGCAGGTCGAGGGGCTCCCAGCAGTGAGTGAGGAACAGGGCATTATTCAAGTTGAAGAAGCTGGCGAAGGGTCCACTGGAACCGATACGAACTTCACGACCTTGTCAGCGGAAAGATTGCCTGAAATCAGTCAAACAGAGGGGCATTCCCCCACAGAAACAGCGAATATGGTGGGCGTGGAGGCTGCTTCGCACAATGAGGTCTCGGTGGCGCAGGAGCCGCAGACTCCCACGAGCTCAGGGCAAAATCAGCTTACACAGGTCAATCAAGACGTAGTTGAAGAAGCGATCTTTGAGGAGGCTCAAGAGATCCAGGAGGGGATCCAGGAGGAAACACAGGAGGACATACAGGAGGAGACTAACGAAGCTCCTCAAAGTGAGCCCGAGGAACCCCAACAAATGAAAGAAACACAGCAAGAAAAGGAGGAGGAAGTAATCGAGCCCTTCACGGTCCCCCTCGGCCTCGACGAGATCGACGATACAAGCGCGCCCGAAGCCGAATCCGAAGCCATGGAAATCGAGCTTCCCATCCTCCCACCACAACTAGGAGCAAGCCTCCTCGGGCCGCCCCTCCGAAGAGCCCGTCAAACATCGCCGACGAAACCCTCAGAAGTCATCGACAAGACGGCCACGTCACCCTTCAAGCACATGCATCTCCAATCCAGCAGTCCTCTCAAAAAGTACTCGGTCTCCAAATCACCAGCCAAAACTAGCAAAGCGTCCAAGTCCCGCTCTTCCGCCACCTCAGAGCGCAAGACGAAACCGAGAAGCCGCAAGCCTGCGGCCTCAACGCTCGACAAGTCAGAATCTCTCACGCCTCCTCCCGCCTCCAGTCCCTCGCCTCACCATACACATGACCAAAAGGCCGTCCCTAGCACACCATCCTCATCGAGACACCAATCCCGACCCACAAAGGACTCAACCTCGAGGAAATTCTTCATTTCCCTCCTCTCCGACGATGAAGACGAACTCACCCTAGACCTCTTCAAAACCCGGACGACAGCTTCGGGCTTTGGCGGCGGCTCATCGGCCGAACGCAGACGAACGTCCTACACCCCAGTCCTCCTCGCCGGGCCACACACCAAGATTACGACGCCCATGAAGCAGAGAAGCCCGCTTGTCCCCGGAAGCGGGAACGTAGGCGCGACTACAGGCACAGAGACTACTAGGGGCAAGAAGCGCAAGGCGGCGTGGGCGTTTGCCACGCCCACTAGAGTTCACTTTGGCAGTCCGTCGGGCTCACTCGTGCGAACGCCAGGCGGGAATATGAGGCGGTGCGGTGAGAATGGATTCCGGTGCGACAGAGATTTCTGCTTCACTTGCCTGTGAGCTCAAGGAATCACAGCATACTTCAAGAGTGGTCTTGCCGCGGGATCATCGGGGTTAATCTCTTGACACGCGCAGATAGGAACTTCAGATAGGGGGCACTTCAGAGGCCTTGAGGTGAGGTCATGGAAGCGAAGTAGCTTCCTCATTAGTCGCTACATCAGATGAATACCAGAGAGCTTCTGTAAAGAAAATCATGAAAACCACGTTATGCAAAGTCATGGATGTTAAGGGGCAGTTGGAACGGAAGGGGCATGGACCTCGCAAACGCCTTATCCCCCGGTGTGGTGAATCCCAGATCCTTACGCAAGCCAAATTTCCTGTCGTCCACCACATTTCTCCATTCGTCCTCGCCGCTCCCCGCTTTGGTTGACGTTTGTACGCCCAAAATATGTGTGTAGACCACCTTTCGTGTCGTCGCCCGTGAACAGGTACCCATCTTGAAAAGTCATTTCGAATAATCATTCCATGTATTGAGACTGAGAGGGGTGAAAGGTCCGCTTCATGCTTTCTTGTCCCGTTGATCCGAGCCATGTTCATACCTAGAAGAAGGGACTTTAGTCTAGAACCCAGGCCGGCTTGCGGATGCAGAGTTCAGTCCCGGAGTGACCGCCTGCGCCGCCTGCAGTGTCATGTCTCTTGCGTACAGCCTATGTGCAGAGGGAAGATCCAAATTGTCGCGTGGGGTGTGAGTAGTTGCGAAACCAAGCTGGCCAACGACTGAGACTCAGTTGCTGGTCACACCCGAGGCCGTCTGATTGGCCAAGTGCTGCTTGAAAACCTCGGGATCCCGAACAGGGTTAAAGTAAGGGTGAGCCTGGGCCTCCTTAGCAGTAAGGCGTTCCTACTTGCGTGTCAGTATACCGTCCTCGCCACGCCTCGCCTCGTATGGTGTGAACGTACCTGATGGTCGTATCGAAGCAGCTTGTCCAGGAAATCGATCGCTTCATTGCTGACGAAGCGCTGGTTTTCCGCGGTGACGAAAGAGTGCCAGGGCTTCTTCTGGAAACGACCGAGGATGTCGTCATACTGCGCGTCGAGCTCTATCTCGTACTTGTCGAGGTAGTCGAAGAGGTCGTCCGTACCGAGCACCTTCGCAATCTTGACAAGTTGGTCTGAGTTAGAATTGCCATGGAAGAACGGCTCCTTGCGGAAGATCATGGAGGCAAACATGGCGCCCAGACTCCACATGTCCAGACTGTAGTCGTACTCCTGGAAGTCGACCAACAGCTCAGGACCCTTGAAGTATCTGGAAGCCACGCGCACGTTGTACTCAGTTCCCTGATGGTAGAACTCGGCCAAACCCCAGTCGATGAGTCGCAACTGCCCCAGTGTTAGTTCCAAGACCATAGTGAATTCCACCAAGCGAAACACGTGCCTTTCTGTTCTCATGATCGATCATAACGTTGTGAGGCTTGACGTCGCGGTGCATGATGCCCTTGCTGTGGCAGAAGTCGAGGGCCTTCAGCAGCTCGTTGATGTAGTAACGAACATCGAGATCGTTGAACTTGGGGTAGAGGCTTCGGAAGTCGGTGTTATTGACATGCTCGAAGATGAGGGATGGCGTCTTGCTCTGTTCGAACATGCATCATTAGCCCACTGACTTGGCAACTGATATCACGGCAGGACGTATCCGCTTACTTGCGAGTCTCTGACCACGTCAAGAAGAGCCACGACATTGGGTCCTCCCGCCAAGTTTTGCAAGATCTTGATCTCACGCTTGATCTTCTTCTTCTTAACAGGCTTCAAGACCTTGATGACGCACTTCTGGTAGTTAACGACATTGATGCCCTCAAAGACCTCGGAGTATTTGCCGCGACCTGTTGTTGAAGACCTGTATCAGCCAAATATGCTTTCGTCGGTTCGACTCGTGCGCGCAGAGTATGCGGCGGTATGGCGCATGCGCGCGCGGCGCGGGGGCCACCCTCGGCGGAGGAACAAAACGTACCAATTTTCCTGACGACCTCGTAGTTCTCGAGGACACCCCAGCCTATTGATCGAAATGTCAGTAACTGTGAATCCGCAAAGGTGGGCAACGTATAGTAGGAATGGCGAATGCAGGTCGCATACGCCTAGTCGATCTCGGGACGAGAGAGGCAGGGTGGGTAGCGCGAGGTCGAAAACCTACTAATATTGACGGAATCATAGTCCCAGTAGCTGCGGGGCATATTCTGGTTGACATCTGCGTAGACCCGCGCCATGTTGGGCGACTTTTTGCCTATGATCGTACGCAGGGTTGAACAGGGACGGGGTGTTGATGTTGCGTGAGGTTGGATTTTGCGGCGGAGGCAGGACGAGGAGGAGGGGTCTCGGCGTGGCTGAGGTAGCCTGGCTGGACGTGGAGCGGGTGGTGGTGGTGGTGGGAGAACGGGGCAGGGAGTAAATCAAGGTGGGATGTCTAAAATCAGGCTTAGCGGTCTGGAGCCGTGATTGGCCGTCGACCGAAAAGGCGCCTTCCCGCTTATCGTCCGGGCCGCCCGATAAGACCAAGTGATCCGTGCACGCCCCTGCCGTCCAATCGTCCATTGGTGAATCGTGGTCACGATCTGAATCACGAACTTCAACCAGGATTCCTTCAGCGCGATGGCTACAGTGATTCACAATAAGTCAGTCAAGCACTTGATGGGACTCAAGATGGTAAGATGGCAGACAGTAGCTGTCTATGGGTCAAGATAGTATCAAGAACGATGTTGTAAGTGGGACTCGTGGTTGATTCAGGAACATCTCACTCGAACATTAAACAAACGTCGTGGGTGGCATGTATCATAAAGTCCATTGTCAATTTGGTCAATCCAAGTTATCAGCCGTGTTCGGAAGACAAACGTGACTGGCAATTCCAGACACTCTGTATTTCTTTCCCCATACTCAAAAGTAATCATCAAAACGTTCCAGACCGACAGTAGCAAACAAGGGTATCATATCGCTCAATCCTCCGCAAGACCAAGATGTCCATTCCTTTCTGTCCACTGAGACATCGTTCCATCCTTCATGTCCTTCATATGCAGCTTCCTGTTCCCACATGACTCGAAAGACCACTTCTGCCATTCCCATGGGGCATTCTATGCCTCTTCTCATCTTCCTGTACGGCATCGTGTGCCTCTTCCCATATCGTCATGCGTCATCGTATGCCTCTTCCATACTACCACAGGGCAACTTATGCCTGGTTCGAATCGACCTGAAACCAATGTTAGCAGACGTCCCTTGATTCGAGTAATTGCGAAGACTAAGAAGTATGATGGAATGCTTTCAGAGAGAAGATTATTGCTCGACATGTCCAAGCTCAGTGCGACTCAGGCGCCGGAATTGGCCGGCAGTGGTCAGCACTGGCAATGGATCCGACTAAGGATGACGATACAAGGTTTTCATCATAGCATACGGGATGTTTGGGTAGAGAAAAAAAGCAAAATCAGCATACCTTCATGACAGTGGATTGTTGTGGATTCCCGGCACATCAAGCCCCACGAACCGACGGAAGCATTTGCCTCGACGTCGGCGTTCAGGTCGTCAAGCAGATATGGAGGCGTGTGTGAGGCCCCCAATTTCTGCGACAGTTAGAACGGCGTTGAGTGCACAAGGCACTGCAACACATTGCGCGAGCGTAGGGAAAATCCCCAGCGTGGTGGCAAAAGCTGGGCGTGCATGGTGTGCCTGTATACAAAGGTGACGACCCCTGGTTCTTTCCGGTGACCGGAAGGTCCACGGGTCACTGACCCAATGGTTCTTTCCAGCCTCCAGAAGGTCCAGTAGTAGTACACCCCTAGTTCTTTCCAATGACCGGAAGGTCCATGGGTCAATGACCACATGGTTCTTTCCGGCACCAGAAGGTCTAGGAGTGAACACCGAGAGCATACAGATCCCCGACCAGAGGCAGCCAGCTCGGGCGTTGATGGCGGTGGAATGTCAATCGTAGTCGAGGGTGTCAAGCCCCGACTCGACGACATCCCATGTGCGTTTGCGGAGGTCGGGCTTGGGCTCTTGACCCTTGCCCTTCCCCCGTTTTTTCTTCTTGTTCTTAGCAGATTTGCCCGGCGGGCGAGATGACTCGGCAACCGTGAGGTTGCCATCCTCGCCAGTCTCACCTGCCTGGCGTACTGCCGTTGAACGTCGCTCCTGCTCTCTCTTGATGGTTTCGAGCTCGGAGTGGCGGAACATGGCGATTTGGTCGTCAGTGAGTGTGCGTTTGACGCCGTCGTTATAGTAGCCGAGATCGTCTTCCTCGAAGACGTCGCCATTCTCTTGGACTGAGGCGTTGGTGATTGCAGCGTCCGGCTGATAATTTGGATTCAAAAAATCAGCTTGGAAATCGCGGACTGCCGCACCAGAAAAATGAGTCTCGAAAAATGCTACCAAGTCATCCTGCGATGAGGGTCAGTATGAAAATTCAAAGGTCTCGATGAAGTACTCACATTGCTGACGCTTGGTGCAGCAAACGGTGGCATCATTCCGGCCAGCCTGGGTGGAAGCTGTGAGGTTGGTGGATGGATGCGATGGTTCTTGGAATTTTTTTTGTGGGTGTTTGGTTGGAAAAGTGAATGACTGATAGGAAATTAGATGTAGATGGTTGTTGAAGGAAAGAAGTTGGCTGGAGAGAGATTGGAGTGTAGGAAATTGTTGTAAGAAGGAAGTAGGGGAGTTGAATATTTGATGGGAGGAGCGCGGGTTCAGCGCGTTGGGCGCCCGGAGCTTGGATCACGTGTGGGGCCCGCTTCACCACCATCACTCAGGGAAAGTGGGAAGGGGACGCGAACAAGCGCGCTCCTGCTGCTGGAAAGTCGAACATTTGTTTTATGCAGTATTCTGCACAGGTAACCAAACATTGTAATTGCCCTTTCTGTCCCCAGCCTAGAGGGCACTTAAGGCTTGCTCAAGAGGGCGAGGGCGCTTTGGAAGGCCCGGAGGACCTCAGTCACTGTAAATGAGTTAGTCGGATGGACTTGGTAGCGATACGTTCGTTCATGAAGAAGAACTTACTGTGCTCCTGCTTCTGGGCCATATGCTGTTCCTCCAGATTGACAAATCTCTGTCTGGTATGAAGGCGCTTGACTGCACGCTCGTTGTCATGGGCGCTGGAAGTGGAAGCCCAGACGTTGAAGTACTATAGAGATGGTCACCATGACTGTAAGTTGGGAAAAAGTGGGCATCAACACCATACCTTGACGAGACCGTCGAATTCGAGCAAAAGCTCGCGCTCTTTTTCGTCTGCATCGGCGAGGGCCTTCTCATATCGGGCATCGAAATCCTCCCAGTCGAAAGCCGGAAACACACCGGGGGTGCTGGGGGTGTTGTTGCCGTTGTCCTGACCGTTGGCGAGTTGCTGGTCCAAACGAGGCTCAGGCGTCTTGGTAGTCTGGAGAGACTTGGCCTTCTGCTGCTGGTTGTTTCCCGCGTCGGCCATATTTGCTGATGAACCAGAAGAATTGTGCAAGGAAGTAGAAGGATCAAGAGAAGACCGGCTCAGGAATTGGATGGTGATGGTTCTTGGTTTGTTTTTTTGGTTGTGTGTGGGATTCTTTTTTTTTTTTTTTTTTTGGTTGGCCTTGAAAGCGCTGTTGATTTTCCTTTGGGTGTAGAGAGAGGCAGGAAGTTGGGGTGTTACTGCCGCTTCAGGGAGGTACGGCAAGTGGCTCCTGCAGCGGTACCGTTGGTGTTTCCTGCTTGCCAAAGGGACGTTAGCGATTTGACTGCCAAAGGTTGAAAGTGTGGCGCTGGAAGGGAAGTAAGCGCCAAGGGAAGGAAGTGTGGCGCAGGGAGGGACATGGGGAGGGTGCCATGGCCCATGGGGTCACCCCTGCTGCCTGTCGGAGTCCGCTTGCGCCAACACCAACGGCAGTCGAGTGTTTCCCATTCTGGCCCATTCATTGTCTCTCACCCGACCTCGTTCCCGTGACTCGACCGACGACTCAAGCGACCTGCCACACACAGGTCGTCTGAACGCCCCGATCGATACACCTTGCTTTCCGGGAGTTGGCGTATATATCAAGTCGGTGATTCCTTCCAAGGCCTTTGGGAGGGTTCTCTCACCCCAAGATCCACTTACCCAGAAACTCAAATACCCAACGTCATTCCGAAGGAACAACGCTTTGTGCATGCGCATCTTCGTATCACATTTCGAGTCGCCGCCTGCCTTGACGCGACCAGAAAATCGCCAAAAATGAATTGCGACATCTGTTGCAGGCCTCACAGTGCTCAACGTCTGCCCTTCCTCTGTGCCGTCGATGCTCGCAACCACTGCTATGAGGGTCGCATCAAGAATCTCCAGGCGCTGATGGAGAATGAGAGTCTTCAAAAGGAGATCAATGATCTGCTTGCTCAGGACAAGGCAGATGATGGCCCTGGTCGAAGTGTTGTTCTCGAGTCGCTGAGTGCCTCTCAAAGAACGGCCGAAGATCGCACTGAACAGATCATCGCCCAAGCTGAGAAACTCAAGGGTGAAATTGCCGCCGCCAGAAAGGAGATTGCCGATCGCAAGGCCGCCATCATTCGCCGCAAATCCGATCTTGCATCTGCATCGAGTGGTATAGCTGCCCGAAGGACTAGACAGCTGGACGAGACTGAACGATCCATCTCGGTTGCCAAGTACAAATGGACCCGAAGTGCCGACCAGATGTCTTCGACTCGATCTTTCTTGTGCATGGAGGCCGCCAAGCTGTATGGACTTCGTCGCATCAAGAAGGGATCATCCGCTCGGTATGAGTACAAGATCGGGGGTGTTGACATCGTCGATCTCTCGTCTATGAATGGTTAGTATCGCACTCCAAAGTTACCGAGTGACACTCAACCTGACTTTGACAGCTATATCGCCTGAACTCTTGTCCACCTCTCTCGCCAACATCGCCCATATCCTGGCTTTGACATCTCATTACCTCTCCGTCAGGCTCCCTGCAGAGATAACACTGCCGCATCGAGACTATCCGCGCCCGACCATTTTCAATCTGTCTTGGTCGTATCAGCATGGTGAAGTACCGTTTCCTGGAACTTCGCCCGTTACCAGCTTTTCCGCAGAAGAGCGCGAGAGCCAGCCGCACTACATGCCTCGCCCGCGGCCACTCTTCGTCGATAAGGCTTTGCCCGTACTGGCCAAGGAAGATCCCGCTGCCCATTCCTTGTTCCTGGAGGGCGTGACATTGCTCGCCTACGATATCGGTTGGGCATGCAGCACTCAGGGCGTCTTTGTCGGAGATCGGAACTCGTTCGAGGATGTGTGCCATATGGGTCGCAACCTGTACAACTTGCTCATTGGACAACAGCTCCATAGCACCCAGACTGGTCGCCTCTATCCACCTGCGACTTCGTCACCCGGAGCGAAGCACGATGCGCTTGATCAGGAAGAGCTCGGCAAAGCTCCCTCGTGGATGGGTAGATACTCCCATGGCACAGCTCATGCTTTCCTTGGCAGCGCGGAGGGATCCGAGTTCGTTCGCGGTTTCAAGCTCCCCAGCCCCATGAAGCTTGCTGATCGGCTCAAGAAGAAGCTTGTCAGTGAAGTTGCCGTTCCGGAGTGGGAGGTTCTCGAGGATGATGCTTGGGCTATTGATGATGGTGAAGGCCAGGCGAATCGCGCTGTCGGTGGTGGTGGTGGTGGTACAAATGGCTGGACAAAGGTGAAAAACAGGTAATCCGAACAAAATAACAAAACTCTTCGTATATCGGTAGTCAAACATCGCGTCAGTGGCTCTCCGTCTTCCAGTCTATCTGGTGCCATATGGTTGTATTGCAGGTGGGTGGGTTCTTTTTTTTTTTTCGGGGTTTGTGATTTTGAGACTTTTTTTTGTTGTTTTCTTTTTCTCTGATCTCGAAATCCTCTCTCACTCTCTGCTCTCGTGGTATCATCTCAAGAAGCTTCAGTTCTTCCAGGCTCATCTGATTCCATAAAGTAAGTAAGTTCGTACAGGTGGGTGGGGGTTTTTTTTTCTTTCAGGTTTCGTGATTTTGGGACTTTTTTTTGGTCTTTTCTTTCTTTTTCTTCTGATTCTGTTGGTATCGTCTTAAGAGAGTTCAGTTCTTCCGAGCTTCTCTGATCTTCTCGAGCCATGGGCCCATGATATCATCTTGCGAGTCAGGGTCGTTCAGCACGATGAGGTGGTCGACAAAAGTTTCCGTCACGACCTTATCGGCCCACTTCTCCACGACATCGTCGAATATGCTGCGGAAGATGGTCTGTCCTTTGCCGTACCGCTTGTCTTCCATGAGCTCGCCCCATTTCTTCATCGCCAGCATCGTCAGGCTTTTGACACCGTACTTCTTGATCTGGCTAGCATCGATAAGGTCCCACAACGGTTCCAAGGTCTTCTTCAACTCGTCCTCGACCTGCGGTGATCCAATAACCACGACGAGCAGCGCAGTGAGAGACGGAGCGACAGCAACTAACGTAGGACTGACGACGGCGGGCGCAGGCGAGAGAGCGACTCCCAAAAACGAAGTAGGAAGGGTGATTTGATCTGGCACATTGGGAAGTGTTGGCGGAGGCCGGAATCGCGCCGCGATCTTGTCCAACTTGTCCTCTTCCTCCTGGAGCTGCTTCTTGCGGAGTTCGTGCTCTTCTGCCTGTGCGCGTTGCGTTTGCTCGTCTCCTACTCTACGCCGGCGCAGCGGGAGGACTTTTCGAGGTTTAGGAAACTCGTCGTCCTCAGACATTGCCTCTTCATCCGAGTCTTCATCGATTTCCGATAAGGCCTCGGTCTCTGGTGATGGCGATCGAGGAGGAGCCTCGGGAGTAAAGCTGGGAGCCGGAGCCGGTCCCAGAGCCAGTGCCAAACGACGGCGACGTAATGGTAAAATCTCGCGCGGTGATGGCGGCGGGATGTACTCATCGATTCCTAGGAATTCCACTGAGCTTTCTGAGTCGTAATCGCTCTCAGATATCGTCTCGGGCTCTGGAGATGGGTCTCTAAGGACGAGGGTCTGCTGTTCCGGCACCGGGGGCATTGGTGGGGGCGGCGCGGGCCATGAGAGACCGGGGATTATCGAAGGCGTTGTGAGGAGGCCACTGCCAGGCACAGGAGGTTCGGGCGTTTGAGGGACGGTGGGAGACGGTGATTGATCCTCGGGCTCTCCGGTCACTTCTGACTCTGGCTCGGTGGTTGTCGTAGGCGGCAGGCTCTCCTTTACGGATTGCGCAGGGGGTTCAGGCGTATGAGTGACGGTGGGAAATGGGGGCTGATCTGCAGGCTCTCCAGGTACGTCTGTCTCTGGCTCGATGGTTGTCTTGGGCGCTGGGCTGTTCTGACGAGGGCGAGGGCCGTTCAACGGGAGATTCGTTCTCGGCGAAGAGGATGCTTTGAGCGAACTCGCTGGGAGCAGCACGAGTTTCGACCCAGTCTCTGCCTTCACTATCGAGTTCCAGTTGTCGGGAGCCTGAATAACAATAGCACCCGGGCTGTCTGCGTCGGGCCGTGGAGAAGAAGAAGGCCGTGTCAATTGCGGCTTCCGCCGTCGCGGGGTAATGAACAGATGGGCGTACTTCTTGTTGGACTCGTCTTTGGTGGGCTGCTTCAGCGCCTGCGGCTCGGGACCGGCGGCAACGGGGACCTTATCGAACTTCACGGCCTCTGTAGTAGAGTTGGCGTTGGCTGCAGGAGACGCCGGAGGCGAAGATCTCTCTTCTTCGTCATCCTCTGGCAAGTTTTCCAATTCCGGTTCAGGACCGACGGCGATGGTTGCCTTTTCGACCTCGACAAGCTCGGGAGTAGGACTGAACCGGATTGCAGCAGGAGAAATTGGGGGCGAAGCCTTCTTCACTTGCTCATCCTCTGGCACTTTCTCCAACTTGGACCCAGAATCGGCGGTGCCGGGGACGTCCGTCATCACAGCCTCGGGAGCAGGAAGAACGTGGACCATGGGACGAAGTACCGGAGGCGAAAGCTCCTCTTCCTCAATATCTTCATTCATTTCCTCTGGCTTCAAATCAGGACCATCGCCGTTGGTGGCCTCATCCATGTCAACCTCGCGATCATGAGGGATTTGGGGCGCCTCGGTCATGTCGACGTCCGGTTGGTGTTCCGGTTCAGACTCAGTCCGATGAGGAGCATGTGAGGGCGTCGGCGGTGGAGAATTGTCTTCAATGTCGTCTTCAATGTCAGAGTCCCAAAGATCCTTGATGAAGGAATCTTCTTCCATGCGTTCATCCTCCTTGCCAGACTCTGGTTCATCGATGCGAGAAATTTTCTCGCCCTCTTCTTCCCAGTCCATCTCGTGTTCAGGCTTGGCCGATACGTTGTCAATGAGCAGACCGGGTATAATGACCGGAGTTGCCATTACGACTTCGGGAGCTGTCTTCGGTGCTTGAGGAGCCACGGGAACCGGCTCTATATTGATGACTGGCTGATGTAGTCCCTCCATCTTCGGTGCTTCATCGATCTCGACCGGAGAGTTGACGGTGGCGGGGAGGACAGGCGACTGAGAAACCGGAGGAATTGCAATTGGAAGCGAGGGATCGAAATCCGCAACTGGTGCAAGTAAAGCAGTCACCTCTGAAGGCGGAAGAACGAACGTTGGCGCGACGACTGCAGCCTTTACCTGGGCTTGGGCAGCGAAGACATTGTCGACTCTGTCTTCATTTACAAGCTTCTTGGCCTGAACCAAGAACATGTTCTTTGAAGACAGCTCTCCAACGAGTGAGGGCAAAGTGTCGACAATCTTAGGCGGGGACGGAAACGTGGCGATACGGGCTGGGCCGACATCCGGAGCAGGTGTGCCAGGCGAGGGCATATCTTCTGTCGTCTCAGGTTGCTTGGCCTGAACCAAGAACATGTTGTTTGAAGACAACTCTCCGACAAGCGAGGGCGCCTTGTCTGTAGGCTTAGGCGGGGACTGGATCGCGGCGATTTCGATTGGACCAACTTCTTCAGCAGATGTACCAGGCGAGTCCATCTTCTCTGTTGTCTCCGGTTGCAGGGTCTGAGTCGTAAAGGTGTGGGTTGATGGGACCTTTTCGTCAGGGGTACGGGGCGATAGCATCGGAGGGGCGAGGAGAACAATCTTCTTCGAAGCAGAGAGAGTGCTTGGCGACGGCATAGAGCTTGCGGCGGGAGCCTTCTCCTCCGAAGCATGCAAGACGAGCGCGGCGGCGATGTCAGCCTTCTGTTCGACAGGCAAGGACGTGACAGAAAGAGTCAACGAGGGCGAGGTGGCCAATGGTGACAAAGACAGAGGCTCGGGATCTGAATTCTGCATTGTTTGACTGTCTTGGACCGCCTTGACTTCGACCGGCGAGAAAATGACCGGGGCCGTCGACAGGGGCGAGATGACAATTGCTGAGAACGACAGAGGGGCGAAATCTGCAGTCTGTGTTGACTTGCTGACTTGGATCACCTTACGGGACGTCTGGGCGATTGGTGCAACATCAACATTGGCGTTCGACGTCTGGCTAGAGACTCTCGCTTGGCTTGCATCCTTTCCGACATCGAAGAACTCAGGAACCGGTCGGACCGTACGCTGCGAGCGGTACGCCGTTACCAGGTTAAAACTTGCCATGAATTGTCGTGCGACAAAGTTTCCCCGGGCCTTGACGTCCGCTTCGATGCATGAAGTCAACACTTGCATACTTGAGGCCAACGACTCGCGGCTCGAAGCCAATGCCTGGTTGCTCGAAGCCAGTGCGCGACGTGCATCAACGCATTCACGAAGACTGACGTGCTGGTTGGTGGCCGGCGGAGAGACGTGGATAACCTTTTCGTTGCCAAAAAGTCGCTTGTGGATCACTTCTGGGAGGTCCTTGTCGTCGATGAGCCGGGTCCGGGGACGCGGGGTGCGCAACTTGTCAATATATCTCCTCAGGCGCTCAATCTCCTCTTGCTTTTTCCCGGCCATCTCATAATATATGTTCCACATTCGCTCAATCCAGTCTTGATGCTCGGCCTTCAGAAGCTCGAGTTCATCTTCCGCAGAGACTTCGGGTTCGGGTTCGCTCACCGCCTGATTCGGTGGCGAGGGGGGTCTGTTCCTGTTGTCAGCATATCGTGAAATGGTGTCAATGAAAGGGGGGGGGGGGGGGTGTCACTCACATAACAGAGGGATCACTCTCGCGCGACCAATACTATTTGGTCCACGTCGGAGAGGATTCCTCTGGCCAGGTACCAGGAATCCTGGGCTTTTGCTCGGCCTTCCAAATGCCCAAGTTGTCGTCAAGGTCGAGATGAAGAAACAAGGGATCATCTTCTCCGCCGGCATTCCATCGAAGGCTATACGCCTCGAGGCGTACAATCGCGTAAATTAACAAGAGACGGACAGCGAGAAGGAGGGCGAAGTTGAGCGGGGTGAATGGGTCAAACTCCAGATTGATGAATGCTCGGCAAGCCTGGTCTCCGGCGGTGGGGATGTAGGAGATCCAGTTCCAGAAGGAACCGGATACTCTTACGATCTCGCCAACCAACGCGGATTCCGTGGCTGCTTCGACAAAGTCAGACACGAAGTCGTACGCGGTGATGAAGATGAAGATGACCCAATTCCAGAAGGAAACGGAAACTTCTGCAGCCTCAACTAACCACGCAGGATCCATCGTGAGGTCGTCTTGTCGAGTTGGAGTAAGTAAGTAAGTCGTGAGTCGAATGCGAAAATAAGTCCACGGAGCGTGCAAGGCAACTAGCTACCGGGATATCTTGGTGGATGATGAATTTCGTATTGACGCGCGACAAAGAGAGGAAAGGAGAAGAAGTTTTTTTCAAAAACTCGCGGCGAGGAAAAAGTGATATGGGCGACGGGTGGGTGGGTGGTGGGCCGGGCGGGCGGTCAGCGGTGGGCGGTCGCTGGGCGGTTGGGTCGTTGGGTCGTTTGACACGTGACGCAAAGTGAAGCAGGGCTTCCGGATGATTCACCTTCGTCTTGTGTCCTAAGGTGAAGCTCGTGGAGATGTGAGGTGAATAGACCAGGGACGCTACGTATTCAGAATCGTGGTGGGTCTGGGCGGGATGGCGGTCGCCGGGTTTGGGTGGGAGGGGTGACGGTTGGCCTGAATACCTTCATTGAGTCTTATCACTTGTCACTTGCAAACAAAGGTTCCCCCATCGTTGGCACGAGGCGACTGTGTGATTGTGTGGTGTTGGTATTGCCCCTTGGTGATGCAACTCGGTGAGAAGTCGTTGACCGAGACCCAATTTCCACCCCTTTAAGCCTCTATCGTAGGAATTACTTGACCTGAGTAGTGATCATTGCTTTGCACATTTCTCATCCTCATCTCAATACTTATCTCATGCTGAGGCAATTTAAACTCATCGACTACTTATAGTCCTGAGCTCCGCTCTGCAAATTGCAAATCTCAATTCATCTGTAGCAGTAAATTCCATCCTTTAATCGACATTTCGTCCAACAGTGACGGCAAGATAAAGTCACGTAGAGCAACAGGCATATGATCGAGGCGCATGAAACGAGAGATTGAGTCAAAAAGCCAATTGCGGATTGAATATGCAGCTAATTATGGAAGCAAGAGCCATGTTTTGCATCAAGCTCCGGGTATCCGCCATACGCGCCACTGAAACCGGAAATGATACCTCCCAAAAACCAATGTTCCCTCCTTCATCAATCATCACAAGATACAGACACCAACTCCTCAACCTTGCTTCCTTCCTCTCGCCAAGAGTCTCTCGTGCAGGTCAACAACAACGTCGATCCACGAGGGTACGCCCTCCTCTTGAGACAGTGCCTTTTTACCCAAATGGGTGGTTAAAAACTCGGCCATTTTCCCAGTGTTGAAGTGCTCTCCATAAACCACATTTGCCTCAGGTTGCAGAGTGAAGTCAATCCCATCAGGCTTGCTCACCCCGTGTATCTCCAGGGCAATCACCACCTTCGTCTCAATTGGGGGCAGAAGAAGCGAAGACCTGACCGCGATGGACGAATCCGAAGTGCGGGAGACAATCGTGGGGAAGGTAACGTTGAGTCGGCGAATTTGGTCGGAAGTGGAATTAGACTTGTCCCACGCGGCATGAACCATGTGGAGGAGGTCCGCAATTTTAGTGCGGCTCTGTGGCAAGCCACGGATGTGGTCCCGGATGCATTGCAGGAAAAATTCCTTTTCCGGCGTTGAAGGCAGGGGGTTGTTTTCGCGATTTGCAGCAATGTACCACAGGTCAATACGCGAGTTCTTCTGACCGCGCTGGAACGACGCCATGTCGAACACCAGCTCAATCTCACGACGATAAGTCATTGAGACGGTGCTTCCGGAAACCCCAGTTACGGCCCAACCGTGTTGTTTTTCAAGAGAATCCACTCGGGCTGCAGGTAATGTTAGTCTTGGTGGGGTCAGACTTCTTCAGACACAGCGATGAGAACTTACCCTTAAGCGCACTGATCTCACTGATCGACCAACCTCGGCATTCCTCACGAACTTTCTCAGCCTCCTTAATGTCCTCGTGGCATTGCTGCTTCTCTTGCGCCAATTGCTCGACGTCTTGTTCAGCCTCTTCCAGCTGCTGTCGGAGCTCCTCAACCCGCCGAGTCTTCTCTTGAACATCGTTGTCAAGCGCAGTCAAGTCGAATCTGGCCGTCTCTAGCTCTTCTGGGTCGCAGTCGGCAAGCTCCTCTGCAACAGCCCGCAGGTTCTTGTGCTCTTGTTCAAGGACGTCGAAACGCGATACAATGGCAGGCAAGACAGAGGAGAGCAACTTTTGCTGCTGCTGAAGTACCTTGTCGTCGACGGTCATACCCTCGGCAATTCTGACAAGACCCTCCCTCAGACCCTCCTGGAGCTTCATGCGCCACTCGTACCACATCGCCTTGCTCTCGAGACGAGCGTGAGTTTTGCCGTTCTTGAACTGATTGTCGAGGATGTTCTTGAAATCAGGCGATGCTGACATGTATTCCCGGAACAAAGGCGGGTTCTCTTCAAAGGTCTCAGACTCGATCTCGCGAACGATTCGACGGCCTTCGGAGATGTACTTCTTGAGTTCACGGCACGAATGCTGGTAGAGCTCGAGCATAGGTACTGTGCATGCACCGGCGACGACGCAGTTCTCCAGTGACAAGTCCTCCTCGCCACCAAAGTCCTTGAACATATCCGGAGCTTGCGTGTGACGCCGTTTGGTGGTCGTCAGCTCCATGAAGCGGATCGAGGTCATGTTGAGGAAGTCCTGTAGATGAATCCGTTCCTCCGGATCGTCGTCGAGAATTTCGGCTTCATCTCGAGCAGGGGAGCCCTCTAGGTTCATTGGATGGGAAACAGTGTCTTCCTCAACATCCCTGAATCGAGCGTGCCCCTTTGGCGACTTGGCCGAGCTTGCAGGCTTCTGAGGCGACTCAGAGTGAGTGGGCGTAGCTTTCGAAGCAGCATTCTCCTCCATGCTTTTCCTGGCAGATCGAGTCAATCTGCGGCCGGTAGTCTCTGCCTTACTTGGGGGCTGCTGCAGCTTGACATTCTTCACCGGGCTGCCTTGATGGCCTTTGAGTCTCTTGACGCCGTCGCGGTCTTCACTGTCCTCCTCATCATCGAGCTCGGCGGGCCGCTTGCCGAGAAGTCCTCGTGCGCTTCCGACGTGAAGACTCTTGCGGCTTTGCAGGCGCTTCTTTTGAGGGCTAAGGCTTTCAATCATCTCCCTCAGGTTCAGAGTCGCGTCCTTTTCGGTTTCGCCACCATCCGCCTCACGCTCAAGAATTTTTCTGCCGTTCTCCTTGTCTTCCTCCTCTTGACGGGCTCTGTCAATTTCTTCCTCAATGATCTGTGGTTTAGCAAAGGCTACACCACGGACCCTGCCAGGAACGAACTCCTGGACCGTCTCGCCGAGAGATCCTCTTCGGTCAAGGAGCGCAGCAACGCGGGGCGACCCGAGGCCAGGCTTATCCGCGCCGATACCAGAGTGCCTTCGGGTTTGCGGAGTCAGAACAACGGTCGGCGTCCTCGCACCGGTGGCTGGATCTTGCTGGAAGATATTCAAACGAGTAGCGGTCTTCTCGGGAGAAGGAGTTGCGGGCTTCCTAGCAGGAGATGCAGGCTTCCTAGTAGGGGATTTTGACTTTGAGCGACTGGGCTTCTTCACTGATTGGGGCGTCTTGACTGGAGAACTGTCGAGCAGCGTTCCAGTAGCGGCGTGCGACGGAGCGACAGATTTTGGCGGGCTAGGCGTTTTTGTTCTAGTCGGTGATTCTGACATGGAGCCTGCACCCGGCATGCTCTGACGAAAGCCCTTGCCTTGGAAGGGGTTAAACCCAGGACGGCTCGCATTTTCTGATCCTGCGAATGAGTGTCTCTTGGCCGCCGAGGCAGCCAGCTTTTTGGCAGGCGACGCAGGCTTTACGGACATGGATTTGGTAGGAGTGTCTGGCTTGTCCACTTCCGCTTCCATGAGTTTCTTGGCAGCGAGGCGAGACTCCGGAGGTTGGGATGGTTGGATGATGCCTCCGATTGCCATTGTCATATCCATGCCCATAGTCGCTTCGTCCTGGTCGGACACTTGAGACGACGGCAGAATACGACCAACAGGGAGCGTCATGTCTATCGGCGTTGTCAGCTCATCCAACGTGTCGTCCTGCGAAGACAGGATTCGGCCGACCGGGATGGTCATGTCCATGCCGACCGTCGCGTCTACTCCGTGAATAGTCGCATCCGCCGCTGGCAGTATGCGACCTACACCGACGGTCATATCCATGTCCATCGTTGCCTCTTCTGGGTTTTCGCGGGATGTAGTAGTCCTCCGACGCTTCTGAGCGCCATCGTTCTTTGGATGTGTCGGAAGAAGGCCGCCAATGGCGCTCGTGAATTCCATAGACATATCCTCGTTTTCCACTCCGTTGTCGTCGAAACTGTCGTCGTCAGCGTTGGAGTCGTGAATAGCACCAACGGCTGTGGTGAACTCCATGGTCTGGTCCTCAAAGTTATTTTCGGTTGGCGTTTTGGTATTTCGAGAAAGGATCCCGCCGAGTACTCTAGTAACATCCATGGACATCTCTTCGTCTGGTTCGATATCTCCGGATGATTTGCCGAGGATGCCTCCGACAGCAGCAGTCATATCCATTTCCATGTCCATATCCATACCCATGTCATCTTCGTCCTCATCCCGAGGTGGACTGTTTTGGACAGGCGGGGGAGGGGCAGCGTTCTCTTGATCCTGCGATGCTTCATCTTCAGGCTTGCTCTTCTTGATCCAGCCAAAGGAGGGAATGACTTCTTCGTCATCACTATCATCGAAACCAAGCCTTTGTGTGCCAGCCTGCCGAGCAGCTGTTCGTAGTGCCTCATCCAGACTGTCATTGTCATCATCCGATGCTGTTGTCCGGCTGGACATGACTGATGCGCTAGTAACTTCGTGGTCGTCGACGGTCATCATTGTGCCATCATCATCGTCGGAGTCGCTGTTCGAATCAGACGCTTCCTCCTCCTCTTCATCTGCAACTTCCTCGACGGCATCTGCTGGCTCGGAGTCGGAGCTGAAACCGGTGGCCATGGTGTCTTGCTCATCATCGGAGAACTCCATAAGCGGCGCGGTGGAGCTCCTCCTGCGCTTCTTCTGATGCAGTTCTCTCTGATTGTCGGGTGACTGGGGTACGACCTCATCGTCCTGTTCTGGTGGGGTTGATGGGCGCTCTGCCGGCTCTTCAATTTGGGGGGCTGAGGTAGAGGATCTGCGGCGCGACTTGTTTGTTGCTGTTGACGGGTCCTGCATGAAATCGATTTCATGGAACGTGTGAAGGGTTGCCTCGGCGGCAAAGGACACTCTGCGGTTTGCGAGAGATTTACGTCTTGCATCTCTGCGCTCACGCTCCTTGGCCGCCTGTTGCTGCTCTTCCTCGGTGCGCAAGGCGATCTTGGAGCCTGAGCCTGTAGGGTCGGTACTGCCCGTAGTAGTCGGGGTGCTTGACCGCGGCGGACCGAGGTCGATGAGGTCGGCGGCGCGCTTTCGATGTGGTGGAATCTCGGGGAGTAAGGGCATTGTGGGCTTCAAGATAGATCGCGGCGGAGGCCGTGAAGGCACAGCCAAAGACTAAGAAACGCATGTTAGTCGCGTGAGACGACGGTGATCAGGAGCATACAGCTTACAGCTCTGCGGTTCCCATTTGCACTTTTCAGGGCGTCCAGACCTCCAGGGCCAATGCTCTTGCTACGCGACTTCTTTCTGCTCTCCGCAAGGGTACTGCCAACGTCGATTGTCGCATTCTCCTTATCGCCGTTCTTTCTCGAGGATGTGGTCGCGCCGATGGACTTGCGTGTCCGGCGCGTAGCAGGAAGTGTCGCATCGCCAAATGAAGCCATATTGAAAGTCGTTGCTGTCGGTGGCGATGTGCTGCTATCAGGCTTCAGGTGAACGAGAAAGAGGCGTGCACATGTCACCTCTTAAACTTGGGGAGAGCTACGCGACTGGAATCGGTAGTGGCGTGAATGTACCCAAAGGATCGAGGTATGTTCAGGGTAGTGGGCTGTCATGGGTCTTGTTTACTGCCTACCAGGGTTCTGATTGGCTTGCAGAAAATGATGTCAACAGACGCGATTTTGTTGCTGTGGTAGCGGCAAAGACCGCTGTCACCGCTTGGACCACCTTCACGACCAGGGTGCAGACTCTGTGTGTCTTTGTCAGCTGTGGCTGGAATGGCTCAGTAGTGGCTGGGGCTCCCATCTGTGGCTGATCTGCTAAACGTGGCTGAACAAGGGTGGGGCTGGCGCCTCGCTAATTTTTTCATGTCCACAGCCCTAATGACAATTTCAGGGCAGGCCCGACCCTCACGTTCTCTCACCCCCGATTTTGCAGACTCTGGTGAAAAGTTGCGGCTCAGCATCAACGACTTCCTAACCCTCAACAGCACCCACCCCCGCCCAGTCGACCGCACCACGACGTCAAGATGGCTACCGAGTTGACCGTCCAGTCCGAGAGGGCTTTCCAGAAGCAGAAGGGTATCTTCCTTAACCAGAAGACCAAGGCGAAGTCTGCTCGCCCCGGCAAGAGCGGCCGCAGATGGTACAAGGACGTTGGTCTGGGTTTCCGTACCCCCGCCACTGCCATTGAGGGCTCCTACATCGGTACGTTTGCGAGCGAGATCGATTGAGGTGTTGGAAATCCCATGCGCGCGCGACGGAAACGACATTTTTATTTCGACGAAACTTTGCGACACGACTGGAGGACTGCAAACGATGGCAGAAGAGGGTTGGAACTTTGGGAGGACAAGAGGAGGAACTACACGACACACGACCAAAGACGGAGGACTGTTGCAACGCGCGCTGGGAACCAACATACACAAACGAATCCAGGGACTGAAATGCTAACGTTGGACCCCTCCAGACAAGAAGTGCCCCTTCACCGGCCAGGTCTCTATCCGCGGTCGTATCCTTACCGGCACTGTTGTTTCCACCAAGATGCACCGCACTCTCATCATCCGCAGAGAATACCTCCACTTCATCCCCAAGTACGCCCGTTACGAGAAGCGCCACAAGAACCTCGCCGCCCACGTTTCCCCCGCTTTCCGTGTCGAGGAGGGTGACCAGGTCACCGTTGGCCAGTGCAGACCCCTCAGCAAGACTGTACGTTTGCGACGCGATATCCACGATCGACGCCCGAACCCGGGGCTCCTTTTTCTCGTTCAGAGTTTCACGTTTGCTAACACTCCCGGCTTCAGGTCCGCTTCAACGTCCTGCGCGTCCTTCCCCGCACCGGCAAGGCCGTCAAGTCCTTCAGCAAGTTCTAAATCGGCTCATTGGCATTTACGGCGTGACTGCGGTGTGGGTTCTTCATTACAATACCGGATGGGAGGTCATCAGGGAAACTGCATCCACATGATTGTGTTATAGATGCAGAATCAGAGACCAAAATGAATTCGATCAGCCAAGCCACGTGGTAGTGATCTAGAGATTCTTTCTCTGGCTGTCTTGGGCACACGATGGGCTTGTGATTTTTGCGGGAACGGAAAACTGCGATACGCCTCGGGTCAAATGAACGAAAAAATGATTAGGATGGGTTGACTGTGCCACTGTAGACTCCTTGGTGAACCAGTGACATGCTGTTTCTGTGCCCATCCGACTCTGTCACAATTTGCCGCATAACGAAGAAGGTCTATTCGGACCACAACGTGTGGATGAAAGCTGCTATAGAAAATAGGTACCTTGATGGCAAACGGTGTAGCTACGCGAAGCCTCGGCTCAGATAATAAGAACGTGGCATTCCATATTCCCGAATCAGCGCACCACATGTGATGGACGTAGTAATGACCAACAGCTACGGAGACATAACTATAGAAACTCAGGTCATCATACATATTCGAGAGCAGCATGATTGGCGTGAAGTAGAACAAACCCCTTGTTGTGACAGTGCCAGATACAGTGCGTGACTTTCTAGATGCACATTGCTTCCTGTCTTTCCAGGCATCTGATTGGGTCACAGCCATCCACCTCGAAATTCTCCCAGAGCTTCCAGTTTGCGACAAGCCGAGAGTCCCCAAGCTTCCCAATCCTTTCGGAACTCCTCCATACGAGACCTCCAGCTTCTCTCCAAGGCTCTTCCCGTTGGATTCTCGAGTCTCTCCGTCGCAATGGGTTGGTTCGACGGCTGGTTCGGCCCCAGCGCCTCGTCCGACGACCCTCTCCAGTCCCTCGACCCCAAGCTCCGCGAATACCTCGAGCGCGAATCCCCCGTAAAGATCCAGAACCAGCAGATCCAAGAAGCCGAGAAAAAGGCCATACGAATCGCCGCACAAGCAGCTGCGACGGCAGAAGCGCGCGCCCACGCCCAAGCACAAGCACAGTCACAAGATGCCGCGGAACAGCCCAAAGTGCCGAAAGAGAGCCTCTTCCAGGACGGGCGGTACGCGCACCTGTGGAAGACGTACCGGCCCTACGCCGAGATCGAGGCCGAGACGAAGACGGATCACGAGAAGCTCATGGACGTGCTGGACGGGTTCAAGCAGCGGAAGCACGACATTGGCAGGGCGGCGCTCGAGAACTGCGCGATTCAGCAGGAGGAGTGGGTGAACTGCATGAAGAGCGGCGACTGGGAGGATAGGATGCAGATGTGCAGGCGTCAGGTGCAAAAGTTTGAGAGGTGTTATACCATGCAAACGGTGCGCTTATACCCCTTCGATCTTGGAACCTCACTTTCAGCTAGGGGCGGAATTCATGACCAAAAAGGTGATTTACTAACACACTTCCTTCTACAGAGATTCCTCAAGGCCCTAGGCTACCAATCCATTGCCGGCCGATCAGCCCAGGTGGAAGAAGACATCCAGATGCACGCAGACCAGCTCTACGGGCGCATGATTGAGCAAGAACAAGCCATGGAGGCCGCCAAGAAGGAAGGCCTCCCCGCGCCCAAGTTCGACTTTTCGATACCCACGGCCGCACCGGCCGCGACCGCGCACACGCCGAGGCCGGACTTGGAGACGTCGTGGAAGGAGAAGCTGGAGCAGCTGCCCGAGTCGGAGAGGGCGGCCGAGGAGGCGGCGCTGCGGGCGGATTTCCAGGCCAATGTCGAGGTGGCCAAGAACGTGCAGAAGCTGTGGGACGAGCAGGAGAAGGAGAAGGAGAGGCGCAAGGCGGAGGGCAAGGCTACGATTGTGGATCGTATCTCGGGGACGTTTGGCGGGGGGAAGTAAGGGACCTTGCGGTCTGAGGTGATGGTTGTCTCGGGGCTTTCTTGACAGAAGGTACCTGTGAGAGATGCCCTGTGAGATGGTGCAAGTTGGGGCATTGGGTTGTGAGAAGCCCCGTGGCCGAGGTTGCCGTGGGTGTTACATATCACGATATCGGCCATTGTAAAAGCGACTGTAGACTACCTTGTACTTCTACGTAGGCATTCTGAAATGCACAAAAAGAGCCTGAGACGAGCTCAATTCCCTCATCAATGTCTCGGCAACGTTGGCTCATTGAACTTGGTACAGATCATGTGGGGAACTTTTATCAATCTTGACATGGAAGATCGGCAAGGTTCAATCAGGGGACTTCAGTGTGAGAAATCAAGGTAAGGACTGAGATTGTGACATGACTTGATCAACCTCACACCGACTCACACCGACGCGAAAACGACACGGCAATACCTCAGCAACGGTAGGTAGGTAACCTCAAAACTTACCGAGGCCCCCTCCCCGTAATTCCCTCAGCAAGGGTCAGCGTCAGCCATGAAACTCTCATGATCATCCCATCTCGTGTTCAGAGAGGGAGGATAAGAACCAGGGATTCAGCTTCCGGTCCGCAGTCCGCGGCAGTTGGGAGGGAGAGGCAGGGGATTAGGGGGGGGGGGATTCAGCGCCTTGGACAGAATAAGGTAGAGCTCGCGTTTCACCTGAAGTTGAACTGGCAAAATGGGGCGAAAAGAGTACCTAGTGGTAGGAAAGCTGCACAGAAAAATCACTCAGCAACCTGCAAAGTCTGAAACCATGACAGGAATGGGCTCGTGAACATGTCAAGGGTGCATCGAGGAAGGGGCTTGCGTCCCGGAACCGACGGAAAGAAGACGGGACTTGGGAAGTTCATCGTCATTTCGCCTGTGCCTTGCCTACCTTCACCGCATGGCCGTTGACACCAATGAAGAAGTTGGAGGCCCTGGATGAGTGCTATTACGGAGTATTCGTACCTATCCCCCAAAACTCGGATGGTTTCTGCCACGGAGATCTTAAGATTTCCGGAATAGCGGTGATGCCAAGCTAAAGTAACCAAATGGCGGGGAGGATGAGGTGTTGACAGCATGGCGCAGTGCCCAGCAAAAGGTGCACCAGCTGGCAAATAAATGTCTCGGCTTGCGGGTAACGGGTAGGTCGACTTCTGCAGCAGGCAGTGCAGCGCCCTTCCCTCGCTGGGAGGTCTGACGTACCTACCCGACCCCCTTTCGCACACTGCTGCCACTTCAGCCCTCCAAGCACCTCGCTAAGGCGTGCCAAGACTCCCAAGAGATCTACCCGCGCACTTGAAAGCTTGGCAGCCCAGGGACCGCCGCCTCGCATCACCCCAAGACTTTTGAGCCTCTGCTCTTCAACGACATTGTTTGGCTCAATCATCTAACTGGGTAGAGTAGATATGATATGTGAAGTTGTAATATATTCGATTGTTTATCGGTGATATATATGTAATCCAAGAAATCCAAATCATGCCCCTCGCCCTCCTAGTATCGGTAGGTGATGGTGGTAATCGTCCCAAACGCCGAGAAAAGGGTGGAACCATGTCCTTTCCCCCTTTCCAAAATTGTTTCCTCCCTCCCCGTCATCTTTCATCATGGGGCGAATTGCTTAGCAGCAAGACTCCTCGCAGCCGCAAAGGCCGCAGCAGAGCTCGCAGCCAGCCTCCTCACCACCACGGAGACCCATCTCGGGCTGGGGCTCGGCGGACTATGTCTTGTCAGTACCTGTGCTTACATCTAGATGATAGCATGAGGAAGGGAATAAGCTTACGGGCTGCTGAGTGACGATGCCGTTCTCAACGGGGACCTCCATGGGGGCCTGCTGCTGGGGAGCCTCGGGAGCGGGCATATTGACGGTTGGCTTGTTTTGGAGTGGGTGATAAAGAGAGGGTAGGTGGTTTGTATGTACGAGTCTAGGAAGCCGCGAGAACTTCTATTGTGGTATCGAGAGATGGCGGTTTGAATTAACAACTGGGTCAAGAAGATGGAGGAAGAGGAGAGCTTCCCCCTCCCGCCTTATGTACTCGCCCACCACCATACCTACGTAAGGTAAGGTAGCTAAGTAAAAGCAGCACACCTCAGCAACCAGGAAACTGGCGCCCTCCTCCTGCCCACCCCCCGTTGTTCTCCAAGTGACCCAGTCCAATCCAAGCCAATCCAGCTGAAGCGGTCGGTGGCCGAGGATCCCTAAACCTCGTCGGGGTGGTCTATCCTGACCTATCCTATCCTATCCAAAGCAGACCAACTCACTCGGTTCAGTCACACACACACACACACACACACCCCTCCTCCTCTCCCCTTCCCGGTTTTCGCACTCCCTCCACTGGGCCCCCGGGGCCAAATAAGCGCAGCTCTTCTCATCGGATGCAAAGGCGGCGAACCATGATCGAGAGAGCAGCCCAAAAACACCCAATCATTCGCCCACACGCCGTGGCCGAAGCCCAGTTTTTCTTGTCCCTCTCTTGTAGCTTCGTTGTCGGGCGAAGCAACAGGTCAGGGTCCGGGGCTTGGAGGGGGGCAGAGTAACAGCGAAGGGGAGAAGGGGAAGAGGAGAGTGGGAGAGGGGGGGCGTGTGTGATGCACGTAGGGCAGGCCGGGAATTAGATTGTAGGAACTTTGCAGGAAACGAATTGGGGGCAGGGAAAAAAGTGCCGTACTTCCGTGATGGGATGTCATGACACGGGCACACTGGGCAGCACGGGAAGCTACAACCTTACCACACCTTACCACACCAGCATACTCCGTACTTACATTACCTCACGGCCCATACGAAATAGCAGGGTGGAAGTTACCGGGTGGCCGACCGCCACATTGCGGAGAGTGGGAACACAAGGGAAAAAAAAAACCACGGACCCGGGACGCCTACCAGTACCACAAGTGACAGAAAAAAGCACAACACGGCCACCCCGATTTCCAAGGATCCCCAGCTAGTCACGGTGGTATTCTACGGTACTACGGAGTATATGGGGTAGAATGACGGATGATGGCTTAGGCTCAACTGTCTCTTGCATTGCATTGCAAGGTAATTTACAGAGTGCAGAAAAGACTCCAAAAGAGTCTGATAGTTTGGGACGAGGGTGGGAAAGGGCGCATAGTCATACTCGAATAAGGCTTAGTGACGTCAAAATGGGGAATGGAGCCAACGACAAAAATAGTGTCTGTCGATTGACGGGCCAAAAGAGCAAAAGTTCTCTATCGATTTGGAAAACAAGGGGGGGTCCAGACTCTCGTCGACCTTTCTTTGGACAGTTTGGATTTTGCTTTGGTGCTGAGTTTCGTCCTCAATTCTAAGGAGGGAAATGGCGCTCTTCGCCGTACCCTAGAGTAAGACAGCCTTTTCCCTCTTTCGGCCGTCGCGTAGTTTCTTGTTATTGGGATATAGAGTTTACACCAGAACGGCGCGGTAAGTCAACGCCCCCCTATTGGTAAACCCCGTGAAGGCTGAAGCAGCTGCTTTTCTTCTGTTGGCTTTCTTTGGCCTGAATTATCATAGTCATCAACCAGGAGGGGGGAGAGCAGAAAGCCGAGTCTCCTGGGTATCCCCGGCAAAGGCCACCCGTCGAACCCCTCCCCTCCCTGCCTCTTCCCCCCCAAGCTTGCCCCAAGCATCGTACATGAACGCCAACTTGCCGTGAAGATCAGATATGACGTGGGCAAAGACACCACATCGCCATCGCTTGGACCATTTGCTGCCTCTCTTTCTGTCCGTGTCTCTCTCTCTCTCTCTCTCATCTATCGACCCTCTAGAGCTATTGCAGCTCGTTCAAGGAACGCGTTGAAGTCCTTCACCTGCTTCAGCGTACCCCCCGTGTCACTGTGCGTACAGGCCTGGTCCGTAATTCTAGATATCAAAATCTCGAGGTTCGCCAACTCTGCCGTCTTCTTCTCGGCCGGGCTCAACTCGGGTGCCGCGCGACCGCGCTCCACGGCAAGATCAATGTCATGCATCTGCGAAGATAAGCTCAATTGGTTCTGTGGGCACACACAAACGGGCGGTTAGAAGAGCTCATAAGGCTGAGTTAAGGTGTGGTGTTGCCTTTCGGGCAGGGTGTGACATTACCAGTGCTTCTTCCGTCACCCTCTCGTGCTTAATCCTGACGGCATCTTTCCGGAGCGCCACCTGGTCTCGCTCGGCTCGGATGCGCATGATTTCGTCCCGAAGAGTGATCCTCTCTTTCTGGACACTGCGTACTCGCTTGCGCAAGCTGTGGAGCGTGTCGAGGAGGATGGTCTGGAATTTTGAGTCAGCACGGGTGGCAACCACCAGCCTCGGGATGTGGATCTACCCACATGTTGGAGGAGCCGCGTCCTCAACTCGTCCTGATACGCTTCCAGAGCCCGTTGCTGCACGCGATGCTCCCTCTTGGCGGATGCATCTTGGGCATTACGCACTCCCTCCTTCAGGGTCTCTATGCTAGTTTCGATAATCTCGTCGCACATATGGGTCAACACGTCAACCGTGTTCACACCGCCGCGCCCGGCGAAGGGGATATCCATAGCGAGCACATCAGCTTCGCCGTCGCCGCCTTCAGCCACTTGCACACGTTTGGTGAAGCGCTGCACAGGGATGGATACAGCCTCATCGACCCCGCCTGATCCTGACTTCTTCATGCGCTTCGGTGCGGCTTTGGGTGAGGCGTCCTTCGTTGTGGAAGCCGCCTTGCCTTTGGAGGCCGCCTTTGGTCTGCCTTGCTTCTGCTTCGCTGGGCTCTTTTGAGCTTGTTTCCGTCGCCTCTTCGGCACGGGCTCTTCTTGCTCCTCTTCAGCTATCGTAGAATCTGGTTCGGGGGATGATCTTCGTGGACTTGTGCGCGGTCGTTTTCGACCTAGTTGTTGAGCCGCTTCTTTCGCGCCCACTTCCTCTGCCAAGCTTTCATCGTGATCCTGGTCCTGCTGTAGAACTTCGTCAACGATCGCGTCCAGCTCTGGCCCGAGTATCGACTCGGTTTGAGAGTTATTCGCTGTTGCTCGTTCTAATACGTCGACGGGTGCTTCTGATGCCTCTGCTTCCGCTTCCTCTGGTTCCACTTCACGACGATAAGACAGCTCAGGGGACCTCGTCCTCTCGACAGAGTTTGCTGTCCGGTCCGGAGAGAGCTCGTCCAGGTCCTCATTGGCAGATGCAGCCGAATTACGACTCCCGCGAGAGCCGAGGGTGGACCTGCGAGTGTTGGTCGTGTTCCGCCGTACTTTACGCTCCAAAGGAGACGATATCGGAACTGTCTCCGTCGCTTTTTCGCCCGGAGATAGGGCTTCTTGTAACCTCGCGCTCGACGCGACGGCACTACTTGTTGTGATCCTCCTTCGTCTCCCACTGCCCGGAGCATCCGCAGGACTCTCCTCTACTTCGGTATTGTCTGCTGCCACCCTCCTCGATACTGGTGAAACGAACGACGCCGATGGTGCGGGCCGCGGCGGCGGCAGAGATTCGACAGAGTCTGGGTCGCCGGCTTCGACAACGGCATCGGGGCTCGCTGCTGGCTGCGCGACTGTGGCTTGGGCGGATTCGGTGGAGGTTTCCGCTTGGAGGTCGTAGACATCGGGCTTTCCCGGTGATTTCTGCGTCTGGCTCACATTGTTCGTCTCGATGGTACCAGGTCGCCCTGTTTCGCTGTCTAACCTACGTCGCTTGGCAGATGTGTTCGGGGTCGGTGTCGGTCGCGTCGGCGGCCTCTCGGGGCTAGTTTGGGTTTCGATTTCGGTTGTGAGGTCATCGCCAAAGTCCAATTGGAATGACACATCCTCAATTTGGCCATGTCTTTACACTGAAATTAGACATGAATGCGTGCTAGAGGACGGAACTACTCACCCAGCTCCTCGCATGCGCTGTTGCATGCGCTCCCCTCGGGCTATCGAAGGTCAGTATCTCTTGTTGGTGGGGCTCTGCGACGGAACTCACTGGTCATGGCTGCGGATTATGACGAGTTCGTGAGGGCAAATATACCCCCCAAATGATTTGTGTACAAGAGATGTATCATCGAGGAAGAAGGAGACGTCGATTCGTGACTACTGCGAGTTGAAGCGCATACTTCAACAACTCTAGTCGAATGCAATCGTCGTAGGCAGAGGGGCGGCGCGTCTACTAAAGTACTGGCCAGGCGTGTCGCGCGACCCTTTACACAAGACACCCCTGCAGTTCAACAAGTGGTCCGTGCGTGTTCAACGTCCAAACTTAGAACTCCACGTACGAAGCTCTCCAAGATCCAATGCTTTGTCACTGCTTGAGGATAGAAAGGAAAATCTTAACATTCAAAGGCAGCCAAAAACACATTGGCCTAGTAGTAACTGAGTTCGAGCTCTTCATTTATCAGGAAGAGATTCATGTCTTGATTCACCAGTAAATTAAGGGATGATGAATGCATCGGACTTACTCAACCAATCGCATTGTCAACTACATATAGTACCGCCACTACTTTCTACGGACTCTCCCTTCCCACTCGAAGATATAAGATGCATATCAGGTGTAATAAACAGCAATTTTCTTAGTTCATACCAGCGTACTATTCATAACAGTTTACTGCTTTCCTCATGGCTCTTGCAAGCCAGGCTAAGGAAAGTCTTTGGACTTGATAACCTCTGCACCATTTCAGTAGGATTTGATCATGACACAAGTCGGCAGACTTTCCTAAATACCGGCCTTGCTTACAATCGGACTCCCTTCATAGAAAGTATCCCGTATAAGTTTTGGACTGTCACTCTTGCCTTCTTTCAGACACCATTATACCTGCCCTCGACACCAACATTCCGTCGCACAGTTCCTTCTCGACTGCCATATCCAGACACAGGCAACTCAAAGTATCTCATGAGAAACCAGGATATTTTGCCTGCTTTCAACCTCTTCCAACTTCCAACTCCGCAACTTGACCTTCGACTTACCAATACAATACCGGCCTTCGTCACTTAGACTCGGGCAACAGCAAACTCGCGTCTCAGCTTCCTTGAGTTGATCGTTACTCTCTGGGAGCGTGGAGCCTACCTTCCCATACATCTCACTTACTCTTGCCCAATCTTTCCCCCAGCTCATTTGAAATAATCATCTTCTCGGTCATTGTGAAGACACAATATCACTCATTCTTCTACATTACATCTCCAACCAATACTCCAGGGATATCGAGGGCAGTGTCACACGATTCATTCTATCCTCGTCTAAATAACATCTTCACGATTCAAATCTCTAATCAACATCATCTCTCAGCAAGACTCAGCCAAAATGGCCGACATTGAGATGGCAGATGAGTCCATCATCGAGCTACACCCCTCCTGGGATGCTGCTCTCATAGTCTCTCACAACAATACCCGGAAGAAATTCCTCGTTTCCTCTCACATTCTGAGAGTCGCTTCCAGATACTTCGACTCTCTTCTCGCTTCCAAATTCGAGGAAGGCGCCAAGACTCAGTCCGGATTGAAGCCTGACATCACCTTGCACGATGACAACCCCGAAGCCATGGAGATGATCCTCTCTATTCTACACTACAAGTACCAGGACAAGTGGTACACTCTGAGTGCCAGGATGGTTTCCGTCGTCGCTATGCACTGCGACAAGTACGACTGTGCTGCGTCTCTCAGACCGTGGGTCAACCAGTGGCTCGCTAACTTTGGACAGGTGGAGCGTGGGGACGTTGGCTACCTCCTAGTCGCGACTGCCTCCCTTGGCGAGGCGGCCAAATTCCAGAAGATGTCCAAGGCTGCTGTCTTGCAGCTTCCGATGAACTTTGACTTCAAAGCCTGGTCGGAGGATGAGGTCCTGTCTGCTTTGCCGGACGGTGTCATTCGTGAGTCTGCTGCAACGATGAGGTTCCAGAGACACTTTTGACTAACGTGTACCAGGCAACATTATTCGCAAGATGAAGGCGGTTCAGCGACGTCTCTACTCTCTTCTGCAGGAGACCATCATCGACCTTGATCAGAACCAATCCGAGATTGGCCTCATGGACACTTCCCGCTGCAGCAAGTGCCTCCGCATCTACAAGAGACACCAAAACACCCATTGCCCCAAATGCCCGCCTCTCAGTGGCCAACATCCTGGAGTGGGTGATTTTCCGGTCGTCTGCTCCTCCGAGACACGCGTAGCTGAGTGCACGCGCATGTTCACCAAGTTGCAGCTGTACCCCAACGAGAAGGCATGGCGTGAAGGTACCGTTGCCGAGATTGCTCACCGGTTCAACATAATTAGGGAGACGAGCACTCACCGGTGTGACTTTGACCAGAGATGCCCCCTGAAGAAGCGATTGGTCGAGTTGGACGACGCGGTGGTCGAGGTGATTGATGGCATCCGGGGTTGGAAGCTGAAGCCTCTTGCCGCGGATGATGCTACTGCCAATGCTGACTGCGAGGACAAGGCCATCAAGGAGTTGAAATGCGAAGGCCTGTAGAGTGGAAAGATAATTTTGGGGAATCTTGGGCGGCAAATTGGTTGGTCGGTGATTTTGGTTTTCATGACATGGCCTCATCTAGGCCATAAAAGCGTTTTGATTTCTGAGCATTTTTAAGATCAGTTCAGAAGCAATCATTCATAGAAACAACCCCAGCGATATTTTAGGCTTATAGATTGGTATCGAGCCTCCTGAGCTTCCACGTTGTTCGACATGTATATGAAATTGTTCGAAACATCTGCGCTGACAGAAGCAAGCAAATACTCAATGAAAGCATACGCGTTGGGGTGCTCAAGGGGCTTGCTGTCATATTCGACCTTGAAGGAAACCTTTCCAGTCAACGAATCACGCTGTCTTGCTCATTCAGGATTCAGGCAACGGGTCTTTTCCTCGATACCGGACAGATACGCTAGGCAGGTCTTGCCTATTCAAACATGGTGCTGGTGGTTGCCATCGGGACGGACATCTCAAAGGAAAGCACGAAACAGAGCACCGGTTGCTGTTAAAGCTTTGCATATGACATGCAAATTTTTCTCCTTCGCTCTCTGTTTAAGTCTCCTTGTTCTCTCTGCCTCGTCTTACCAATCCATCCACCCTCCCAACATCTGCTATTCTGCACCACTCTATTGATTCATCGAAACTGCCACGACCACTTCTGCTGCGTTGCCGCTCGAGTATCACTATGGACGGTGACGATCAACCATCCGAGAAGATTATCAACGACATGCAATCAACGAGGATCGAGGCCCGGGCAGACTTTGAGCAGCAACAACTCCACGAAGAACAGCCTGTGGGGAGTGTTCCTCAGCTCCCAGACGTCTAGCAGTCGCCGCAAAAAGGGACTTCTGGTTCTCTGAGACCCTACACTAGGCATTCTGAAGTTATTCTCTCCGATGGAGACTTATACGTCATTCTTCTCGCTTCTCGGAACACAATGCTCGCCGGCTTCCGCGTATCCTCCCAAATCTGTCGGGTCGCCTCGACGATCTTTGCGAAGTTGATCGATGCAGAGTTTAGCATGCAAGATGAGTGCAAGGTCATCTTCTTCCATCTCTCCCCTGGGCAACCGAGGATCCACAGCCGCGCCCTTCGATGCATACTTTCAGTCTTGCATCACACCAACATTGATCAGTACAAGACACTCGATGTCGAAGAGCTTCTACGAGTCTCGGAAACCAGCGTCTTCTTGAAGTGCAACAACGCGCTCGCGCCTTGGATTGGTATATGGTGTCCAAAAGCCCTCCAGACCATCATCGATAGCGGACAGCCATCCGTTGTGGACCTTGGAATGCTTTTGAAGTCAGCGGACAATTTTGAGGCTCAAGACGAACTCGCCAAGCTGAGGCAGTATGCTGTTTGCAACCTTTCGTTGAGGTTCCAAGACATCTGGGCAGAAAACCTACCGCTCATAAATTTACATGAGTGCAAATCTCTCGGTAAGAGTTGACGGAGTTACACTCTCGCTGGTCCCCCTCATCTCTCCCCCGTTTCTGCGCTTTCCTGCGCTTTCCCGAGCCACGGCAACTCGATAGAAGCTAGTATGCATCGAACACGTTAAGCTGACACGATCCAACTTTAGATGGGCTCAAGGATGATATCAACAACCGCCTGGTACGAGCTTTCGCTCACATTTGGTCTCTCGAGGGCCCCCTGAGCACCCATAGCGAAGGATATCTCACCGCCAAACGGCTCTGTCTCAGCTGCGGACGGCAACACCCGTCCGACGCCAAGTTATGCCACTCGTGTCGCAACTGGACACTGCACAATGATGTCTGTACGAAAAGCTCTCGTATCGGAGAGTACTTCAAGCTTCTCGCGCGCCAGACGCTGTGGCCCTTCAATATTATAGGACAGGAAGACACCACTCTCTCGGTGATTGCTCAGCGCGTCAAAAAGTTGACGAGCAACAAACCGCATAGTTGCAGTGGTGGTCTGGAATGCCCCCTAATTGTCCACCTTCACGCTCTACAAGGCCATTTGAAGCGGATCGTGGACGATTGTGCTTGGAGCAGCACGTCGGAAACCCAGCAGAGGCAGGAACATGTGGCCATAACCGATCCCAGGAAGATCAGCACGGTGGAGGGTGGCGGTGCTATGGCGGAGGTGGTGGTCGAGGATCTTGATGAGGACTAGGTTGGAGACACGAAGGCCAGTTTGATAGGGACAGCGAGCATGCAGACAGAGGTTTGACTTGGAGCGAAAATTGGCATTTTTCTTGTTGGAAACAGAGCTTTGGGTATTCCCTAACGCCACAAATGAAGACCGTTACGTTTTATTGGCGGACACCTTGTCCGAAAGTTTGGCACAAACGCCTGAGCCCATACACCTATCCGTGAAAACCGTACAACTACCTATGCCTCATGACTCAGAGTTCATCAGTGGGAACCCATTCCATCTTGCTGTCAACAAACTTATGGCTAAAGAACAGCGTTAGTAAACAATGGGTTACAGTGGATGTGACTGTTTGATGACTTACTTCTTGAATTCCTGATTCGTCAAGGCCTTCTCTCCATACTCGGAGATGAGCATCTCCTTGTACTTGTAGGGGATCTTGGCCTTGACACCCTCAAAAGTGGTATCAAGCAAAGGATACAGGGACGTATCACGGAACTCGTGGCCATTCTTAGTCGCCAACACGCCATCACCCTCAGGATGATCCTCAACATAGCGAACGGCAGTGATATCGATAAACAGCCCATTCTCCATATCGATCCAGCGGGCATCAATGACGTTGTTCTCGTCAAAGCTGTCCTGTCCGCGGCGGATGTAATTGGGGTTCACCTCGAGCTGGAAGAAGCGGCCTTCCGGGACGGACGGGTACTTGTAGTACCAGGTGGTCATGTTGTAGTAGGCGGCGAGGAAGTTGATGCCGTTCTCGGTGACTTGCACGTCGGCGTCGGCGTCCCAGGGGAGCGTCTGCTTGTTCCACCACCAGCCGAGGAGGGAGCCGTGCATGAGCCAGGTCTGGATGCCGAGGTCGCGGAGGGTGGAGAGGTAGGTTTGGATGAGGACCTGGACTGCTTCGCGCTGGGCTGTTGTGTTGAGGGGTTTTGTGGCGAAGCGGGCGTCGTAGTGGATTGAGAAGCTGGTGTGGGGGTTAGTACGGCTTATGTGAGCATAAGTTGATGGTGAAGGTGTTGGTGATCATGGTGAGATGGTTTATTAGAGTTTCGGGAAGACGCTTGGTCTCGTCTCTCATCTCATCCCATCCCAAATCTCATCGTCGCAAAGATGTCGAACAAAGGCCGTGAATTTCTGAATGGGACGCATCTGATAGACTTACTCTGCTTCTTGAAAGTACTTGGGAGCCTTGCCCCGCGACTCCTTGAGCTCTTCTACTTCGGTGGTTGAGGTTGAGGCTGAAGTCTTGTCTTGGATTGGTGTGGCTTGCGCGACGGTGAGACCAACGACGATCGTCGAAAGGAGGCGTCCGATTTGCATCTTGGCTGATTTTCCCCCGTTTGATACGGCTGATATCGACTTTTGAAGCTCAAAAGTTGTATGAGTTCGGCTTTGTGTAGAATTTGAGAAATTATGATTTTTCGAATCTCTGGAAGTTGCGGTTGTTTAATCCCTTCTCTCTTCCTGCTCGTCTGGGCAAAACGTCATCGAAAGGTTGCGGTGCGGCGGTAAGCAGGCAGGTTGAACAGGGAGCAAGAGCGCTTGGTTCCTTCTTCCCCCAGTTCCTGCAGTATGAGTATGCGGCGAGTTATCGTAAGTCGGCAAGAGGTAATTAGTAAGAACCGTTTGGACTTCTTTGAGAGCGATGTTCAAGCCAAGGAAAACTTTGATAAAGCAAGCTCGACAGATGCAGTCCAGTCACTTCTCTCACATAAGAAACACCTTGAAAGGCGAGGGGGGGGGGGGGGGACTGCACTGGTTTTATCTACCTCCACCTATACCAATGGAGATACATGCATTCCTTCCCTATTTCCCCCCATCATCCCGTAGTGTAGTGTACGTACGACCCAATCCGCCGAAGAACCCGATGCGTGCTCCCGGTTACCCATCCATCGACGGGGCGAGAGAGAGAGAGAGAGAGGGGGCAAGGGCGCCAGACCGGGGGGTGTGTGTTCAGTTCCAAGGGCCAAACCAACAGGTTAGGTGGTTAGCAAAGGAAAAGCACGCGTAAGACCCCCCAAAAACCTGATGTGATCAACAAGCTTAGCCTCTCCGGATTTGAACGCATGTTGCAAGCCCCCAACGGCGCGGGCGGTATTGCGGCAGAGACTCTCTCAAAAACCCATGTTCCCTTCCCAGTTCACCCCACATGTACCTACGTACGCGCCGGCACTGCGACAACCGCGCAAACGGCCGGACCAACACATAAGCCACTGACCGTCCTACGGGCAACAGCATAGCAAAGCAGATGGGAAGCATCAGCCATGGGCGTTTGGTGGGCCGACTTACCCGCCATTGATGGCCCGGGGTGAGCTTGCGCCGCCTTAGAGAGGGCCGAAATAGTGTATTCACCCAGGGCCCAGGCATGGGTGTGGGATGTATCCTTTGACGGTAGCAGTGTCTCTGTTGGTGCTTTTTTCTTTCTTTTTTCGGCTGGGCCGCGTCATATGGTGACCTCCCACGGTGCCGTTGGCGCTGCCGTGTGTCCCGCACCTCTCCCGCGCTAAAGATATCGTGGGCGAACCGGCATTGGGTGGCCCTTGCATATGGTAGGGTTGCTTTTTTGGAATGGGAAAATGGGCAACATACCTATGCAGCATTGTTGCCCGCCCACATCCCGAGGGAACCCCACGCAGCGTTGACAATGTGCTTACGACGTCTTTCTTAATTACTGTTTGCTGCGCGCGGCGCAATGCTGTGGAATTTTAATGAGGCTCAAGGGGCCCCAAGGGGGATGTCGCTCCGATTGCCTTTTGGCTTCGATCTTTGTCCCCATTTGGCCCATTTAGGGGACCGCTGGAAATTTGGACATGATGGGATGGGGCTTGTTGTTTTGCGCTCGGGTGGCCGCGTTTGTTGTCTCCTCGGCGCCGGAAGCCGTCCGTCTTGGTTTGTGATTGCAGAGTCCCATTCAACGCGGTGAGATGCGTGGCCTGGTCATTGCATTTCATTCCATACCGACAGGTGATATGTGGGATCTCGGTAGTGTCGTGGCCGATCCATATCCTACAATTTTGGCCAAGGCTCGAGAATGAATTTTGAGGGTAACTTATTCCAGACTTTGAGCTGAGCCTCCTGATTTACTTGCGAATATTAACCACAGGTATCCTCGTGGATACAGATGATGGTACAAAAGACTAGTCCTCAGAAATTAAGCTTGTCAGTAGAGGATGGCTGGCTCACTATTTCCCGAGATACGATATAGATATAACCTTGGTCGATATCAGAAAACCGCCATCGGTTGCACCGAGTGTAAAGGATGGTAATATCAAAGTTCATGCTCAAAGTCACCTCGGGCCATACCGAAGTTGCGGTACTGACATACAGGTCAAATAATGTGGAGAAAATGCGATTGTCGACTTCTTGTCTGTTAGCAACCTTACCCAGCTTCATCATCGTAGCTTCTGATTTGGCAGTTGGACACGCCAGTTCGAAATCTTGGCCTCCGCGGCCGATCCGTTGACGGCTAGCGCCGTGAACAGCTACGCAACCCGGTCGGCCTAAGAAAGCACGGCCAGCCAGACTTTGTACGTAGTACGAGTATCCGTAGACCGGCGCGGAAGCAAGCGAGACAAGGACCCCCGCCAAAACAACAGCGCCGAGCCTGTGCACTGACGACTCTGCAATACAACACCATCCTGCTAGATGGAGTAGATCGACTCTGCGGGAAGAGGACTCCGCTTCGCGCTACCATATAGACCGACCCAAGCCAGCGGGTAAGGCAGGCACAAAATGGCAGCCTCCAACTTTGTCACCAGGCAGTACGCCTATGAAGCCTTTGTCGAAAGCTGCGGTGCAATCCTCTTCGACTCGCCCAGAAACCCAGCAAGGGTCTGCCTGCTCCGTTACCTGGCCACAAATGAATGGCTTCTGGCCAAGGGCAGACGCAATTGCGGCGAGTCGAGGCACGAGGCAGCCTTGCGGGAGGTGCTGGAGGAGACGGGCTTCCGCTGCCGACTTCTGCCTGTTGATATGGCCACGCGGGCGCCGGCACCGGATGACGATGCGAATGCTCCCGATCAAGCAGCCGCGCGTCGAGGAATCACGGAGCCGTTTATGCTGACTATGCGAGGACTTGATGGAGGGGCTGGAGTGAAACTCATTTGGTGGTATGTTGCGACTCTCGAGGAGGGAGCAGCGGTAGAGACGGCTGGCGGGGAGACTCAGTTTAGTGCGAGCTTCTTTGGTCTTGATGAAGCTGCTCAAAAGCTCACTTTTGAGGACGACCGAGACGTTCTGAGGAAGGCCATCCAACTCGTCAGAAAGACCACTCTTGGGTCATAGACAGCCAAATTCGGTCAACGATCACCTTCTACCTAGCTCATGCTCCCCGCTTCCAATGAAGATGCATTTCTCAATTGGGCCTGGGCTTTGCAATACGCGCAGCTGCGCAGGTAATGTCGGGGCAATATCCACCCTTTTCTTCAATGGCGCTATCCCTCAAGGTGGGGGTTACATAAGCGACCCTGTGATACATGAGCCAATAGTAACGCTTCCTGACAGGACAACGTGGCTGGGGGCCTTGGGGCTGTCGTCACCTTCCCCCAGCACGGATAAGACTCAGGCTCGAGCTGATAAGGCCAGCTGGTGCAGGTGCAGCTGGGGGGCGCAACTGCGTGACTGCCCGCGCGGCGTAAGAGCTGAATCTGTAAACTGGCAGGAGGGAACCTCGAGCTTCGTTATCCGTAACCTTCCCGCACTTCAACTTTGGAAATAGCTTCAATCCCCGACTGTTCGCTTCAGTCGCTTGTTACACCTTTTTACCCTCCTGATCGCCGAGCTTCGTTTCGGACGGATCCGGCCTCTCTAACGGAGCTTCATCCGATTCTATTCTCTCCCTACCGCCGTGGGCAGCTCGCCGGCCTTCGTGTGATGTGAAACGGAGCTGCCGTTCCCTTTCCCGTCCGTTCTTGTTTGCGTGTCGCAATCGCATTCCCCGAGTCCTTCCCACCAACCACATCACAACTCATCTACACACCGGAATACGCTGGAAGCTCGACTTCCCATCCGGCACCATGACTGCGTGGAACGTACGTGCTGCGTCCAACTAGATACGTGATTCCCGAGGCTGCCCGCTAACTAGCTTGGCCAGGTATTCCGTTTCATGGGAGACATCTCGCATCTCCTCTCGAAATGCATCCTCATGTTCGCGATACATCGCAACAGGAGTGCTGAAGGTACGCTACCCGAGATTCCAACATGAATGCATGTCACTGATAACGTTTGCGCAGGTGTCTCCCTCATCACCCAGGGCCTGTACGCCTTGGTCTTCTGCACGCGCTACCTCGACATCTTCTCCGAACAATCAGCATGGAACTTCATCTTCAAGATATTTTACATTTCGTCATCCTTCTACATCATCGGGGCCATGCAGTGGATCTTCCCCCGCACCAGGGAGCGCGAGCTCTCCTGGAAGGTCGGCGCCGGCGTCTTCGGCGTCTCGCTCGTCTTGTCTCCCTTTGCCATGCTTATCTTTGAGGGCTACTGGAGCTTCCGCGTCGTAAGTCTCACCTCGCACGGAATCCGGTCAAGCTGGCCACACAGCTGCTAACGTTCGCCAACAGTGGCTTTGGGACTTTAGCCAGATCCTCGAATCCATCTGCGTCCTGCCTCAGCTGCTCCTGCTCCGCCAGACCACCGTACCGACCGTCATCGACTCCTTCTACCTCGTCACTCTTGGCTCATACCGTGGATTATACCTGATTGGATGGATCACGCGTGAGCTCGACATCAACGACAAGGCGCCGAACAAGGTCTCGGTCATCTTCGGCATCGTCCAGACGGCCCTGTATGTCGACTTTGCCTGGGTATACTACACTCGCCAGCGCGTCAAGCTCCGCAACGGTGGCATTGTTGATGCCGACGACCTGCGTAGGGGCTGGTTGCTCAACAGAATCTTTGGAAAGCGCCTTGATGCCCACTCTGACGATGAGGAGAGCGCCCCAGCTCTTGGCGACGACGATGGCCAGGGACGCCGCGGTGGTGGCCGCCCCAAGTGGGGTGCCCGTGGCATCTCAGTCAGCGCAGATGAAGGTGTTCTGGATACCGATCGGGACAACCAGCGCCGGGATGAGGAGCTCGAGGAGGGTGTCATTGACCCCGATGCCAAGATGCAGGATCCCGATGAGCTCGCCCGTGTGCTGGATGACGATGACGACGATACGAACAAGGCGTCTGGAAGCAATGGCACACCCGCCGGGATTGACAACGGTTCTGAGTGGCGCAACTAGCCCTCGGGTCACATACCTGTCCCGTTGCTCGAGCCTGGCGGTCTGAATATCTACGTCCCTCGACTAGCTGCGTCCTGTGAGGGCTCGGCTTCAGACACTCACGCCTCAGAGAAGACTCTTTGGCGCTGAATGGATGGATGCGAGGAAACGAGTACATGAGACGTCGTGCTAGCGGAAGTATTTGTAGTAAACAGCGTATGAGGCCACAAAGAGATGGTCTTTAAAGCGGAGTTTTGGACATGGTTCTCTTTTGAGGGTATGAAAATTGTTGTACGTTTTACGAGAGAATCAATACACAGTTCATGGTGTATGCAGTTCCCATCGATCGTTTCCTGTACTGGCAGCATCATCTATAGTCTGCACCTGGTGCCGCTGCGTGTATCCACGGCGATCCAGACACAGTGGTCCAAACTACTGGACACTACTAATGAGCTTATCCAAGTGTGTGCCCTGATCGCAGACATACACGCCTTCTCCTCGAGCTGCCGCTGATCTGAAATCATAGGCTTGCTGTGCCTTCCGGACGCCTCCTATCTGGCAGATCAAGTATCGCAGATTCGGGAGCTCCTCGTAAAAAAACAACAAAAAAACTCCTCCAATATCAGTGCTTCCCTCTCCAAATTCGCTCCAAATACAGCCAAATACACAACGCTTCGCCAATGTCAGGGTCGCGCGCTGTATCGAACACAAGGTCTCCTCCCTCGAGATAGTCATTACACCAGAGCCAAAGCAATCAGTGGTCCATTTTGGGGGCACCCAAATACGCTGTCTCTGAATTGACGACTCCTGATGGTGAGGGAGGCCTCCAAAACCAAACGCTCCAAATCGCTTCGCAAAAACACGGATCCTTCGTTTCATTACACGAGAATGAAAACATCGACACGAACATTACTCCCCCTAGATTCGACCGAGAAAATCGACCGACTTGACGTGATTAACCGGTGGTGGCCGTCGCAACCGCAGTTGTAGTCGCGTTGGCGCCAATGACATCGTCAATGTTCCCGCCAAACGTCCGAATCTGCTCCACGCTCGTCAAGCCGGCCCACGCACCCGAAAGCACGGCGCTATCGACATCGAACCCGCCAGACGAGGCAGTCTGGTTGATCCCCGTGGCGTTCTGCAAATGACAGAACTGCGCCGTGCCCTTGACGAGCGCGACGCCGACGCAGATACCGCCGCCGTCAAGGAATACGTCGTCGCCAACGGCATCGCTGTAGCCCTGGTTGTACTGGGCGCAGAGCGTCATGCAGGTGAGCATGTCCGGGACGGTCATGACGAGGATGTCGCGGAGGAACGGGTTGAACCCCTGGCGCATCGGGTAGTACGTGTTGCAGAGGACGTCAAAGGACATGACCTCGTCGTTGTTGAAGCGGATGGGGGAGCCGGAGGCGTCGTAGGGGGTTACCGTCGTGTTCACGCCCGCAGTAGGTTGCGGGCAGTACGGGTTGATCGGGGCGGGCGAGGGTACGCCGAGGAGTTGGATTACGGTTTTTGGTTCGTTTTCGTCGTCGGAGGGGCTGAATTTCGCAAAGAGGGAGGACGCTTTCCGTCAGCCTTCGAGGCTGTCATGACGAAGACGGGGGAAGAGGAGGAGGAGAGACAAAGAGTTGGCAGGAAGAATGGGTGGAAAGGTAAGGTAGGTAGGTAGATAGTAAGCTCTTTCGTCAGACGTACCGGTTAGCCAAACCCAACGCCAGACCCACGGCGATGGCGACGCCGACGATGATGACTCCCAGTGCGACTGCGGCCCAGAACCGCAGCACGGTCAGGCCTAAGATTGTCTTTCTCGGGTGCTGCTGTGGCCCCCTCCCGCCGATACCCTCAAACCTCTGTCTCCATGTCGCCAAAGTGCCGCCCTGTTGCCGTTCGGGGTCGGCAGGCGCCAGAGCCGGAGCCGGGACGCGATGGTGGAGGTGGTGGTGGTGGTGGCTTTGTCCTCGTGCGGGCGCCGGGGCCGGGGCGACGACAGGCGCCTCGGAGCTGATTCTCGACTCTGGATACGGCGGTGAGGCATCGGGTATGTCGTCCCCTCGGAGGTGGGCGCCTGGCGGGTAGGATGTGAAGGACTCGATCTGCTGTATCCTGGGAGAGGAATCTATGGGCGATTGAGCCTCATGGCTTGGGAGTGGTGGTGATTGTTGGTGTTGCGGTTGTGATGGTACGGAATTCGGGTCGACGGTCACGGTCCCGGGTTGTCGCCGTTCGTGGACCGGGATGATGAACTTGTGCTTCTCCTCCTCCATCTTGACATTGCAGGCCCGCCGCGCGGCGGGCGGCGGGGATACGTTTGAAAGATTGGGGGAATAACGCAGAAATCGTCCTTTGGTACCGCTCGTTCCTGGGTTCCTCTAGATGTATCTCGTGTGCCTGTGATGTTTCTTCCCGTTCGACCAAAAGAAGCACCTCACAGTTGCTGGCGCATGCAGGGGCCCGTGTGTAGGATTCGAGGTACCTCCCGTCTCTGCAGGTCCTCGAGGCCCTTCTTTCGTCTTCCTAGGCGGCGTTGGGGACGGAGGAAAAAGTTGGGTGTAGGAGCTATGGTAGGGCAGAGAGAAGGTCGTTTCTCGATCGGCGGCCCGTCACTTTGGTGTATCCGTCGCCTGTAGGTAGGCAAAAACGAAATTGAAAAAGGATAAGCCTGGATGAAGGTAGATGAGGCAGCCGGAAAATGGGAAAACCCAGGATTGGAAAACAGCCCGTCAGGCAAAGATACGTGGGGGGGGGGGCCAAGGAATTGAGGGCCGGTAGTCTTCGCAGGCGTAAGAGTAGCTAGCAGCCGGGTTCCCTTGAGGCAATGAATCCGTAAGAAAAAGGGGATACAACGTGGAGTCTGGAGATGGTGTGCTGTTGTTGGTCGTCCTTCACCAGTTTCTTCTCCCAGGGTCGCAGAGTCTTGAAGAAAGGTCGTCCTTGCCAAGTTCCCAAAGCTTTGCTCTTGGATATAAACGCTCCAATGGAAGTTCCTTTCTGCTTTCTTGACTGTGCTTTTTAGACCGAAAGTGCCAAAGAGCGGGCACTGGCAGCTCAGCTCTTGCGATGGGGACGTGGAGGGGGATATTATGGAAGGAGTTGGTTAAAAAGCCGGGATGAAGGCCTCGGGCGTTCCCCGGACAGGGGGCGGGTGGGCAGCGGGCGCTTGTCCTCGAGTCTCGGGCCTCTTTCTTAACCTCTCCCACTTTCGCAGATACTCAGACTTATTACAGTACAGTACGAATAGAATGCTACGTCCAAGAATGCTACTCTCGAGCCGAGCCTGGGGGAACCGGAGCCTAACACACTGACTGACAGCGTCACGGCCTAGGCGTTTCCTCAGTTTTGCAGCAAAAAGCTGATTTTAAGATGTGGCTGTAGCCGATACAGTAGTGGACCCAATGACATGGGTGACCATGGAACGGGGAAAAGGTCGGACTGAAAAGCTTCCCATGGGCCATGACGGCAAAAAGATCCAAATTTAACCCTTGGGGAAAACCCGAGCTGCGTCGTATTCCCGCAGCAAGCTTCGCTGCTTCACGGCTGCTCTTCGGACCATTGCAAAGATTCAAGACACAGAGATTGAAAACTTGTCGCGGCCCTGCAAAGAGGAGCAGAAGCGATATGCAAAGGAGAGAAAGGGAGAGAGAGAGAGAGAGAGAGAGAGAGAGAGAGAGAAGTGGAAGAAGAAAGAACAGCGCCAGCAGCACCAGCAAGCAACAACAATGATGCCTAGACTTGCAAAACATTGCTTGGCAAAGAGACCAAAGGCTGACGCCCAGCCCTCCTTCGAGTCCTTCCTTGGGAATCCTTCTTTCGGCATTTGGAACCGATGGACGAATACCACAGTTCATGCTGCGAGTCTGCTTCGCTGCGAGCCTGCAAGTCTCATTCTGCAGGGGGTTGCGATAGCGATGACTCCCGTTGGATGAAATCGATCATCCTCCCGTCTTGCGTGAAAAGGGGAGTTCGTCCGGGCTCCCACTCGGGGGGAATGTGGAGGACTGTCTCCAAAAGTCTCCACGCACCTCTTTTCGGTCCGCCGACGCTCTCACACGCCTTCGCACACGCTTGCTGAGGAGGTGGTGGGTTGCACTTGCTTCTCTGGGTTTGTTTGGTTTGGACACTGGTTGGACTGTTGAACATAATCAAATGAAAGCTCGAAGGCAACGACGAACCAGTCACCAGTCAAATCCGTCTCAATCGTCGAGAGAGAGAACTTCTGCTCGACGGTTCCTGCGCCCGCAAAGACACCCTTCGTCTTCATGCTATGGATGCTATCTAGGGCTGACGACGTGGTATCCGGCAGACGCTGATCGATTCCATTAGGGCATGAGATGCGAAATGAGACAGCTTGTTTGTACTCGTAAGGTGCGCAAAAAGGGAAAGCCAAAGACGAATAACAAAAACACAAAGCCGCCAAGAAAGGGGCCCGTCGAAAAAGAGTAGCAAAACCGGAAGAAAACGCCAAAAAAGCCAACAGGACTTAACATCGGCCAAACCCCGGAGCAGCCGACCCTCTGGATGCAAACTGGATGACTGGAAAGTGGTCTGTCATCTCGGGGTCATTGCGGACTTGGTCCTCTCGACGTCGTGGATAGGGCCGAGTCGACCGACCTGCCGACCTGCTTTTTTCTCCACGGGGCAGACGGGGCGGAGGAGGAGAGAGCGGATTGTCTCGCCACGAGGTCGCAAGAGCTTTTTTTTTCGTTTGTTTCCCCCTTGCCCCGGTGCGGACTCCCGGGGGAGGGAGATGGATGCTGTTGTGGATTCTGGGATGATTTTGGTTGGTGACTCTCGTAGTTGTCTCGCGAAATGAATCCCAAAGATACGACGGTCACGTGCGAGTAGATGGCTATCAAGATGGGATGGCTATCCGCAACCACCAGTGCGTGCACCGATATGAATTAGACTGAGCTTTTTGTGAGGTGAAGTTGACGACATTCTTCGTGGTAATACGTTCTGGCTGATGTTGTTTATCGTGTCATTTCATACTAGTTTTGCTGAATTAGACACACCAAGCAACGTTTGAGCGTCCCTGTCTATATTACCTTGTGATGCATGTGAGCCAAATGGTTTACAGACCTTCAAGATTTCTAATGGACCTTCGAAGTTTCTAATTTTTGCAGTAACTTATCTCTAATGATAAATTCCTGCCAGAAACATCATGTTGCCTAGAAAAGGTACTTTGTGAAGTATGAAATTTCGATCAGAGGCTTCTTTAATCTTTGAAAAAGCGAGGGCTCCGGCTTAGAACGAACGACATGTCGGCCAAAGCATCTAACTAATCGACATCTGCTACGAAACCATGATTGAGTGTTTCCGAGTTCAGATGTAGAAAGAAGCCTCAAAACAAGAATTGAGGATTGCAAGGAAATCTGGCCATGCAGACGCCACTGACTGAGCCTCTCTTGCCTCTCCTTCATCTGTCCATGCTTCAATACAGGCACTACTTGTGAGCCAAGCTTGGATCTTGCATCTCGTTCTCTTCATCCCGAAAAGATTGCGAATATGTCCTCAACCACAACGGCGAGTTTGTTATGTTCCCAAGGTATGACCAGAGACGGGAAGGTATACAACTAAAAAGGCATCATAAGACGCCCTTCCTATCTCGAAGACGAATGTACTTTGTATACCTTACTCAACAAGAGACCACCCAGCTAGACTGGTCAATTTGATATCCGAAGCTAATGCTTAGGAATGGTCATCATCTATAGGGCGTTCTCACCAGTCACTGCCTCTCTTCCCGCGACAACCCAACCATCTCCAAACTCACCTCCCGTAACCTCTCCCAAGCCCACGAAGCATACCCCTCCCCCGCCCACCCCAAATTCTCCCCCGTCTCCCCCTTCACCTCACAATCCTTAAAATAAAACGCTCCCAACCCCTCAAACTCCCTCCTCACCGCAGCCAGCACCGCCGTAGCAGCCCCTTGCGCCGTACTCTTCACCGTCCTCCACGCCGCCTCATTCCCTCTAAGCGCCTCCATCTGTTCCCGAACACCAACCTGTAACCCCGTCATCGCCGTGCCCGGGTGAACGCTATACCCGCGAATCCTGCCCCCGCACCGCCGATCCACGCCGTTGGCCATGAGGATGTTGGCCGTCTTGGATTGTCCGTAGGCTCTGTACCCCTCATACGCGCCGGGACGGGAAAAGTTGACGTCGGACCAGTTCATGCCCTGCAGTCTGTGGCCGGAAGACGTGACGTTGACGACCCGCGCCGCGGACCCGGGTGTTGATGACGAGGTCATGAGGTCTTGTAGTTCTGTGAAGAGGAGGAAGTGCGCGAGGTGGTTCACGCCGAACTGCATCTCGAAGCCGTCTTGCGTTTGGCTTCCTTTGGGGGTATACATAACCCCGGCATTGTTCACCAGAATATCTAATCGGGAGCTACGCTTTTTGAAGGCCGCTGCCGCGGCCCGTACGCTGGCGAGGCTGGCGAGGTCCATTTCTAGGAGGTGTACGTTTGGCGCCGAAGCGAGGGACTCCTCTTGGCCTCCATCCCCGTTTCTGATCTCGTCTAGAGCGGCTCGGGCCTTGGAGAGATCTCGTGCCGTGCCGTAGACGGTTGCTCCGGTGGCCGCGAGGGCTTTGAGCGTTTCAATGCCCAGACCTGAGGAGACGCCCGTCACGAGAGCGACCTTGGACGGGAGTTTACCGACGAGGTCTTGGTCTTTGATGATTTGGAGGGCCGTTGGACGGGCGTCGCCTGGTCCGGCGAGCTTTTCGTATTGATGGAGTTCGGTGTAGCGGCCGGGAGGGGGAAGAGAAGAAGGCTGAGACATGGTCAACGTTCGAGGTCAGATATTGAGGTGCAACTTATTCGTGTAAGTGCGAATGGAATTGTGTTGCCTATGAGGGAAATCAAGACAACGAAGAGACTGAGCTCAAGGTTAAGAAGAGTCCACCAGATCATATCCCATCCCCTTCAAGCCATTTTGGACATATTTATACACTCGCTTCTCTGCCATACGAGACTACACTCTCGACGAGGCTCTCACAAGAAACAAACCGTGAGAGCCTCCGCCTTAAGTCCGGCCATCTAAGGTAGTCAGCAGAAGCACTAACATCTGAGAGACCTACAAGATATCGAGGCTGCCTTGGCACCATTATCAAACCAATGAGACCCGTCGTCTGACAGACCAAAGGCTTGAATTATGCAAGGTGGTCGGTGTGCCCCGGAAACCCGCAGCTTTCCTCCGAGGCGGATTGTGGGTCCTGCATCAAGTCCGGGCCGGACCTTGGGTACGTCTCGGTACGTCACAGGAGTCACGGGACGGCAAGTGCCTTGCCTGTCTGCCCTTTCTTCCCGCCGAAGAAATATGGACCACCCGGCGCCGGATGGTGGGGAGGCTTCCCGGAGGCATCTTAATAAAGGAGGGCAGTTCTAGTTGGGCTAGGTGAAGGGAAACCCGAACAGACAAGAGGGGCGCCCGGACCAAAGGGCGAACCGCATGTTGCAACAGCCTGCCACGTTCACCCACGGCGTCGCAGCGAGTCCTGGGCAGAGGCGTGCGTGAGTGCTTGTTTGGATGACAGCAAGGCACCCTTGCCGCCCGATGGCTATCTTACCCCGCGGCATACGTTACAGCATCTCCAGAATACTACCCGAGGTCTAGTGTGCACATCATTCATGCGAGAGGTCCCTCTCTCTCCAGAGCACTTCCGGGTTGCCCTTACTCGAAATCCGAAATTCAGATGGTCGTCAGACTAAGAAGAGCAGAGGCCAGGAGTCGCAACCGGCTGCGGTTTTAGTTGCTTGAACTTGAGGGACGTCTCAAACAGCTCATTTAGAGTTACGTACAACGCTTTTGGCGGGTTAGCATTACGCGTGTAGCTGTCCAATCTGGTTGACGCACATTGTAAGTCGTGTTTACATTGGATTCGGGTGAAAGCCCAGCAAGTGAATGTGGAAGAAATGAAATATTTGTACATTGATAAAAATACTCATGATAACTATCGACATTCAAGCTGCAGATTGTTTGCGCTGCATCCGCCCTGGAGGGTTGTTCCCGTCCGTCCGACCTGCCCGTTTTTAGCCATGGGTCTTTCTGGCCAGCCCGAGGTATCTTGACCACGTATAACTCCTGTAGATATAACAAAGATGAATTCAAATCAATGAACGAAGCGCTTCTCGAACTCGTCGAAGAGCAGGGGACTGATCTCGTCACTGCTCATGCCCTCGACCTCCCAGAGAACGCCCTTCTTGTCGTAGTGTTCGAGGAGAGGCTCGCTAGTCTCCTGGAACTTGCGGAAGCGCTCCTTGTACACCGCCTCGGTGTCATCCGGGCGCTGGGTGAGGGGCTCTCCGGTGACGTCGTCCTTGCCGGGAATCATGGGGGCGTTGAAGGATGTGTTGTACACGCGACCCGAGGGCTCGTGAACCCAGCGGCCGGAGATGCGCTCCATGATGACATTGAAAGGGGTCTTGAGCGACACCACCAAGTTGATGGGAATCAGCTTGTCGCAAACCGCCGCCTGGGTGGCAGTCCTTGGGAAACCGTCCAGGATGAAAGAGGCGTCGGGGTCTTCGGATGCCTCGGGGGGCCCGTGGCTGTCTAGAGCTCCGGTGGCCGTGACAAAGTCATCTAGCTGCTCCTCGTAAAACGAATCAACCGTGGCGGCGGAAGATGACAAGGTCATGACCTGCGGTCTCCTGCGGCTGTTTAGAAGCCAGCCGTTCTTGTACATCTCATTGGAGATGAGGCGCATGATTAAATCATCAGCGACAAGTCCGCCGGACTTCATGGTCTTCTCGACCTTGATACCTGCAAGGAGAGGTTAGCATGTGCGGGAGGATGTGTAGAGCAAGCGCTGGTTGATAGCAGCAGCATGGGACACTTACCGAGAGGGGTCCGGTGCTTGACATTGTTGCGAAGCAGGTCTCCGGTGCTAATGGACTGGATCTGGGGAAACCGTTGAAGGAGTCGTTCGGACTGCGTTCCTTTTCCAACACCGGGGGCGCCGACGAGAATAACGCGGGCAGCTTTGCGGAGTCTCATAGTATACACGAATCAATGAACGGTTGGCGCAGGTGTAGGATTGAATTGAGAGTGACGGAGGGGTTGGTTCGAGATATAGGTACTAAGGTACTCCGTATGTAGCTTCGAAATTGGCGGGAATGAGATGGCGCTGGCCCCAAATTGTGCGGGGGAAAAGGAACGAGTCGGAATCGCGAGACCCAGACGGGATCGTGTTCGGGGGGGGGGGGTTCAGGAGAAAGCCATGATCTTTACAGGAAGACGGACGTTGGTATATAGCGACAATCTAGGGAGGGGAGGAAGAAGAAGGAGGAAAAGAAGAGAGAGGAAGCGCAAAGGTCGAGGTGGTGGTGAAGGAATGCCGAGAAGGAGGGTGGAGAACAGCGAGCGGACGCAGAACCGCGGTGGTGGGATGCAGGCAAGTGCAGCGACGGGGGTGCTGGCGCGCACCTCGGACGGGGATGCTTGGAAATCGGTCGATGTGACGGATGGGCGTTGAGGGGACCCGAGGGAGGAACGTGTGTCGAGTTTGCGTGTGTGGCCGACGGCCGGATCTCTCTGCTCCAAGGACCCTCCACTGCTTGTAGAGACTCGAGAGAGATTGGCAGCGTGCTTGCTGGTTCCAATCCTCCACCGGTGAACCGTCACTGGCTCGACTAAAGGTAAGGTATCCGTAGACTGCTGGCTCCTCGGGGTGGATCGGGATTCACAACTTTACCCCCCGTCAAGTTGGCAGATGCTGCTGGACCCTGAGCTGGTGCTATGCTGCTGTTCCAACTTTCCAACTGGTCGGCCGGTCTCAAGCTCTAAAGTCCGGGGTACGCTAAGGCAGGCAGGGCACAGTGTCTCCGAGTCTCGTTGCTGCCCTGGGCTTCCATGGTGACGATGTTGAGATAAGATAGCGTGCACGGAAGTCGTGGCCTGGTGCCAGCTGGCACACAAAGTCAGCACTGGAGGGGGACCTCGAATGGCGAGCTTGTGATTTCCCACCAAAAAAAATGTCGAGCGGAGTCGGTAGAAAAATCAGGGAGCATATTGTTGAGGGCGTCTTACGGCTTGCTATTAGCAACACCACCGTCACAGTCTGCACATGACATTCCGATGCCGCACTTGTGATGTCCATCAGTGATCACCGACTTGCTCAACTGTTTGCTCAGTGTTGCGTGCCACAAACTCACATGATGAGAGAAAGCCACCAACTAGTGATGGATGAGGCTTGATGATGGCGATATAATGGGACAAAAGTAAACATCCCCATGTAACCTCCGTATATTGCAACTACCTTCTTAAGTACGCCGTACTCCGATTCTGGCAGTCGTTCTAAGCCTCTGTGCAAACAACGAACAGTGTGCCAAGTTGCCAGATGTTGGCAAGTTGGCCACCGCATACGGGACTGCCCGATACCGCCGATCTGCCTCCTCCACATTGCCAAACGGCATCATTTGAGAAGCCCACGTATTAACTTGTAGGAAGTTCAAGTTCCAGCAATACCGAATGGCCAGGTTCAGCCCAGGCAGTTACTCATGATGGCACTGCCCGGTAACTAGTTGCCGTTTGCTGTCCACCAACACTGACACGGGTAAAGGGCGCGATTCGCACAGCCAAACAGCCCAGAAGGTCAAGCTTCTGGTAGCTAAGGCCAGGATGACCCACCGATCTACAGGAGACGGCCGTCGTCTTTGGCTTACCCATGTGGCGATGGTGGCAGGCGAACGAATGAGCGGGTGGAAAATAACACAAACAGTGGTCGAAGTCAGACAAGCACACAAGCCCAGCCCAGAACTGACAAGTGGCACAGGCTCGGCCCAGCACACCCAGGTACGTACCTGCAGACAAAGTGAACCGGGATCTGAGGTGGTGCAGTTGCAGACTTGCAGTGGTGCAGTGGTGCTTGCTCAGCATCTCCAGCGGCCAGCGGCCAGCCCGCCTTTCTTTCATTGTCTGCAAGCGAAACCCCGAGCATAGCAAAGGAGGCAAAACCCCGTGATCTCGCACGTGCTGTTTTTGGTGGTCTCTGGCCCCCCCCGGCCATGGGTGGTTTCGGAAGCCAGGGACAAGTCGTGGTAGCATTCCATTTGATGCGATCGGTTGCCCTCCATTCCAGAATTCTTGGGTACCTAGTTTCGCATCATTGTACATCTTCCACTTCTCCATCATTGTCTTTAGTTGTAGTATACTGCCCACCTCCAGATAGTCGCCCATGATCGCTACTCTTCGGTAGTCCGCTCTCTATTATCACAACAACTTCATCAAACTCTCCTGTTTGCCAGTCAACCGCTGCAGAATGAGCGCCTCCGCCAGTGTCGCTCGTCGGGCGGCGATTGTCAACCCTCTCCTGGGCAACGGTAAGTCCATCCCCTGCGTATGCTTCCTGCCCGCTCACCCATCTCCATGAACCGTTTTTTCTTGTACTGGACATACCTGCAGTTCTTCTCTAACATCTTCCAGCGCGTGCGCTGTCTAGCCTCGGTGTTTCGTCAGCTGTGCTCGGCCGAAACGCAAGACATCTTCCTCGACGAGTAAACGCCCTCGCCCTGCTCGTACCCGTCCGTCATCTGGGTACCGACCACCACAACCACAACCACGGCCAGTCTGGCCCGCCGCCGGGCTTCAATGTTGAAGCGGCTAAGAAGCCCCTGCCCAAGGAAAGCACCCCGGCGGCCAAGAGCGACTCCAAGGCTACCGCCGACTCCAAAGATGCGGCTGAGAGCCAGAGCAAGTCTTCCAAGGATGCCGCAGCAGCAGACAAGGCTGAGTCCGAGTCATCATTGTCGGAACTAGCGGCCGCGAAGGGAACCTCTGCTGATGCCGAAAAGACTGCCAAGGAGAAGATGACAGTTTGGCAGAAGGTCAAGAAGGAGGCTCACCACTACTGGGATGGAACGAAATTGCTTGCGACAGAAGTCAAGATCAGCACTCGGCTTGCCTTGAAGATGGCCGCTGGCTACGAACTCAGCCGGAGAGAGAACCGCCAGTTGCAACGTACTGTCCAGGATCTTGGACGTCTTGTACCTTTCTCAGTCTTCGTCATTGTCCCTTTCGCCGAGCTTCTGCTCCCTGTCGCTCTCCGCCTGTTCCCCAACATGCTGCCAAGCACGTATGAGGGACAAAAGTCAAAAGACGCCAAGGCGACGATCCTCAGAACGACGCGCAAAGAAGTCAGTCAATTCTTGCGGTCCAGTCTCAAAGAGACTGGTCTGCCGTTGACTCCGGCAACGACTCAGAGTGAGGCATTTACCACATTCTTCCGGAAACTTAGATCCTCTGGCGAGTCGCCCACCCGTGAGGACATCATCAAGGTCTGCAAGATCTTCAAGGATGACTTGACTCTGGACAACCTTTCCAGGCCCCAGCTGGTTTCCATGTGCAGATACATGAACCTAAACACCTTCGGTACCGACAACATGTTGCGATACCAGGTCCGTCACCGCATGCGCCAGATCAAGCGTGACGACAGACAGATCAGCTACGAGGGCGTTGACAGCCTCAGCGTTGGCGAGCTGCAGATGGCGTGCGCCAGCCGTGGTATCCGCACCGCAAGCGTCTCTCCCGCAAGGATGCGCGAGTACCTCCAGCAGTGGCTCGATCTGAGATTGAAGGATGGCGTTCCCTCCACTTTGCTGGTTCTGAGCAACGCCTACATGTATGGCCAGGTGGCTGCTCACAGCCAGATCGAGGCTCTCGTCGGTGTTCTCTCGTCTATCCCTGACGAGCTGTTCCACGAGATCTCCCTCGAGGTGTCAAGTGCTGAGGGTGCTGCTACCAACAAGCAGCGTCTGGAGGTCCTCAAGGAGCAGCAAGAACTCATCGATGAGGAGAACAGCCAGAACGAGGAGAACGCGAACTCTGGTTTTGCCACCCCCCGCGATATTGACAACATTGACGAGAAGGAAGAAAGCAGCCAGGCTGCGGATGCTCAGGCAGCCAGCTCTACCCAGGCCAAGGAGGCTAAGGAGGCCGAGCAGGAGATGCTTATTGCCAGAGATGGAAAGGCGCAGGTTGAGAAGGCGGAGAAGAGCGACAAATAGATCGCTCGCAGTTGTAGACAAGCACTATCTTTTTCTTTGTTAGACGTGTATGGCATAAGGCTGGGTAGCGTGTACTAAAAGAAGAGGGTTCACAACACCCCCAGGGAACATCACAGGGCACTAGAAAGATCCATCTCAGGAAGCAAATAGATTCCACTACTGTAAAATGGTGGCCGTTGTATGAGTTGCTAGCAAACTTTTCCTCGTTACCACTAAAACTTCTCAGACGAAATCTGTCCAAAAAGCCATTTAGCTCTGTAGTTCATTTCGCTCATCCGAAAGAAGAGCATGGCTGGCCTGAGCTTCCAGTGTTACGCTCGACGATCCGAGGCAGCCCCCCCTGGTCTTCTTCTGTCGTCTGTTTCTAGGTTGCGTCTGCTTTGGCTGGCGTCGTCATAGCCCTCCGGAACTGGAGGTCTGACAGTGTTGCCCGGCTGCTAGCGAGTTACCTCATCGCTTACCGCTTTCAGGGACAAATATGGGTACCTGCCATCTCCCCGCTATCGCGCTGCCCAACCGCATCAGGTCAGCTACACTAAGCTCGCAGCGTCACCTCTCATGGTTCAGCGACAGGCAGCTCTTGCCCATTCCCCACCACTGCCGCCGACACTTCCAGCCCATTGTCCGGCAAGCGAGACGGACGTTCTTTCCGCCAACTTCATCCGTTGCGACGATCCAAGATCAAGCCTCCAAGTTCTGATTATTTTACAAACTTGGCGATTCCAATTCCTGTTCCTGCGTCTTCTGGCTCACCCCACGATCTTCCTTCCCAGCTTCTCCAACACTAAAGGCGACCACTCCGGATCCCGACAACGACGTAACCCCCCCCCAACGTCCGCCTAGCAGGACGCCATGGCGGTCATGGATCAACACCAAGATGATTTCTCTAATGTGTCCTGGAATACCGACGAGCACACTGCTGCAGAGAGCTCGAGCTCAGTGACGGCCACTGAGTACGACGAGGATGCCGATAGAAACGGCCACCATGCCTACGAGAGCGACGCTCCTGGCAACGACGACGACCGGGAAGTTCTGGATTGCACAGTTTCCGAGCCGCTCAAGGAAAATGAAGGCTCCAAGGATACCTTTGTTTCCTACCTCATCACCACAAACGTAAGGAAATCCAAGCTGCTTTGTAGACCTTGGCTGCGATTGCGGGTTCTTTGCGCGCTGACACGGAATCTACAGACCACATTTCCCTCCTTCCAGAGATCGCATACCACAGCCCGGCGACGGTTTACAGACTTTGTCTTCTTGTATAAGGCACTGAGCAGAGACTACCCTACCGCCGCAGTACCTCCTCTTCCCGATAAACAGCGTATGGAATATGTCAGTGGTAATCGCTTCGGGCCGGACTTCACCAACCGTCGAGCGCATTCGCTGCAGCGCTTCTTGAACCGCCTCTCCCTCCACCCCGTCCTCCGCCGAGCTGATATCCTCCACATTTTCCTCGAGAGCCCCGACTGGAACGCCACCATGCGCAGCCGCAGCCTTCGAGGATCTCAGAGCAGCGATGCCGGAAGCAGTGGCGTGTTTGATAACCTTACCGACAGCTTCCTCAATGCCTTTTCCAAGGCTCACAAGCACGACAAGAGATTCTTGGAGGTCCGGGAAAGAAGCGACAAGCTTGACGAGGATTTGGCCCATATCGAGAAGGTTGTAGCGCGCGTGGCGCGCCGGGAGAACGATCTCGAATTGGACTTTAAAGACCTGGCAGAGCAATTCCAGAAGCTCATCACTCTCGAGCCTGGCGTCGAAAACGAAGTTCGACATTTCGCCAACTCAATCGAGGACACTGCCATGGGCCTGCGAAAGCTGAAGGATGTCACTGATGGAGACTATCTCGGCAGTCTTCGGGACATGCAGGCGTACAGCACGGCACTGAAGAGCCTTTTGAAGGCGCGAGAGCAGAAGCAGGTCGACTATGAGCAACTTACGGAGTATCTTAACAAGAACACTGTCGACAGGGACCAGCTCCAGTCCGGCCATGGCTCTGGAGGCCTTTCAGGTGCCAGCGGCCGGTTGATGCGCAAACTCGAGGACGTGCGTGGAGTCGATCACGAGCAGGCCCGTCGCGATCGCCAAAGAAAACTGGAGATGAACATTGACAAGCTTACTACCGAGGCGGAGCGAGCCAGGAAGACGAGCGAAATGTTCGATGACGAGGTTGTCAAGGAGGTTGCCGACTTTGAGCGAATCAAGCGAGTCGAATTCAAAAAGCAGCTCGGAGGTCTAGCCGACTCCCACATTGAATTCTACGACGAAGTCACGGAAATCTGGGAGAGCTACGTCAAGGCGATGGAGGAACAAGGCGTTTCGGGCACCCGCAGTACCGGTGTTGAGCCTCCTGGTCGCCGGCTGGCGGAGTAGTACTAGAAGGCCCAGAGGGACGTGGGTAGTTTGGCGAGAGCCATGATGCGTGAAATTATTCGACGACAGGACGTTGAAGATTGGGCCGAACCCGCCTAATGGGGTTATATGTTGGTATAGGATCAACTTCAGATGGCTCCAGAGCATTACCTCGGACAGATTCAGCAGACGGGAGAGCGGGTTCATGCCATTGGAGTATCGGACACCAGTCAGGTAGAACTGGAGATAATCATGAAGAGGGGCGTGTGGATTGTGATTAATGAATCAATACGTTTTCTTCTTTTCACGATCTTGAACTATAATAAATGGGTGGTGGGAGTCATGAAGCCAGTGTGGCAGACTCTATGGGAGAATCTTTCCAGTTCCGAAGTATAAGAAGTACTCCGGAATATTCCCTTCTTGGGCCGATTCGTGACTGCTTACAAGGATACCATCCATTCATGCAGGAGCAGGGTTGTCCGAAGTGGCTCGAGATGTATTTGCCATCAAGGGAGTACCAGTGTCTGCCTCTTTGACATACCGGTATGCGGGCCATGAGTCTTGGGAGGCTGTCAGAGTCGTGGCTTGCGTTGGGAGCATGCCGCAGAAGTTAGAACCCAGCAACTTGGACATATCCGTACACTAGAGAGGAAACATGTTTGCGGATGTGCGTTCCAGGCACGCCTCTGTTGTTTACATGACTAGGCATGCAAACGCTAGTGAAGTCAATGTTTCTTACTATATACCACACATTCAAGCATAGTATTGTACGCTGGGAACGAAGGGAGGGTATAACACAAGAGTCTCTTGGTAGAGAGAGAGAGAGAGAGAGAGAGAGAGAGAGAGAGAGAGAGAGAGAGAGAGAGAGAGAGAGAGAAGAAGCAAACGGGAGCAGATTCCGAAACGGTTGACTGTGTCAAACGCCACGGCAAACGTGAAAATGCTGAAGCGTGAAGCGTGAAGCCTCCTCCCCCGGAGCCAAGAGTCTGAGGCGTGGTCTCTGATTCGACGTTTGGGCCCTCTTACGAATAGGTGAGGTACTTTGTACACTGCTACAGTCAGACCTGACTCTCTCTCTCTCTCTCTCTCTCGCTGAAAGCGCCCCCCTTTGCTTCGAGAACTGCGGGAAGCAGAATTTCTGCTGTGTCGTATTATGCGGGAGAACACCGTTGCCAAAGTTTCGATAGATTACATTCAGGTGGAAAGATCCGAGGCGGTCGTGGCCTCCGTGGGGAGCTGGACTTTCAATAGGTATACCTAGATGGAGACGGGATACTGACTGTTCGTGGATCGTTATGGAGACAACTGAGGCTAGGACGAGTTTGGCACCCGCAATTTTGCATGTTTACGAATGCGAGTACGTACTTTCCCAAGCATAAGTCTTTAGCAACGGGGAGGCGCGCAACCAGCAGCAGCAGCAGCACATGGTGAGAGGCAAAAAGAAGAGGATACTTTTGACAAAGACATCCACGGCATCTCGTCGCAACAACGGGACCAATGAGGTGGGGCCGTGACGGGCCAGTGTTGAAACGGCAGTGTGGGTGGTGGTGCGGCAGTGAGCTTCAACATCTTATTGGGGGCCTTACTGGAGACGAAGTCGCTGCTGCCCGCCCACCTGAATCGCCGCCTTCCCTTTCCGTGTAAAGTAAGGTACCTTGCCGCGAGGTACTCCGTAGCGTGCGCGTATGTACTTGGGTATCGGGTCCTTATCACTAGAAACGCGCAGGACCCCTAACTTCAAAGTCGACGGGTACGGGCTACATTGGACTAGTGCCCCCAGGGTTTGCGTGTACCTGGGCTGCAACCTGCTTGAGAGGATGATGGATCTAATGCGGCCGTGGCTGGTGTGAAGGGCTCTTTTCGGGGGACTTTGTCTGACTGTAGCAGGTAGCATTGGACGCCCTGTCCACATCCTTATGTTCCTGCCGTTTTCGAGAAGGCCACGAAACAGCATTTGAGAGTATTGCATTGCAGCTACCTATCATATGGGCCAGAGAGTCTGCCTTGTGTTCCAGGTCACACTGCTCCCGTCAGCATTTTCCATTTCCTCCTCAGTTTGCTTCTGAGTTTCGAGCTCCCTCGTCGCTTCATTCACTCGTCGCATTTTCCAACATCACTTTTGCCATCGCCATCTCCGGTAACGTCGTTGCTGGGTGCTGCTGCTGCTCTACCTATTGGCATTTCTCGCTCTCGCCTGGGCCATTGGCTTTGGTCATATCGATATTAAAGTACACGACGGCGGAGGGTGAGACGGAGCTTCCCCGCTGTTTATTACGCATGAACTCTGGCCTTTCAAGTAATACTTTACCCACAATCGCCTGCTATCTCCATCGAATTTGCGTCGCCAAGCAATACAAACGGGTATTGCCAGGTGATTTGCGCTGGACCAGTCCGGCACACCAGTTGATACGCAGGAGGAATTCCGTGTATTATTCGAGGGATTCGTAAGGCAATATAAGCGGAAAGCAGTCACGCTGCACGCAGTGTCGCGCTGCAAGGGAAATCGGGAAGCTTTGGCCATCTTCAAGGGCTGCCCTTGCCACTTGTGACTCGACCACGTCTCGTCTTCCGCTCTACCCCCCAGCCTACCTTAAACGAGCCAAGTCCCGTTTGTTCCCTCTGTTCCCCTGATTGACGAGAGAGGTACGTGTTGTGGCCAACAGCCTCTTCAAGATTAACAACTTTTTTTTCTTTTCTTTCTCTCCCTTTCCTGGTTCGACTCGATTTCGATACGGCCACTGAAGCTAATTGTCGACTCCCTTCCTCTTCAGTCCCTCCTTTCTTTGCGCATCATCAACATCCCCTCGAGGGGTCTTCGGCAGCGCATCATGAAGCTTTCCGCGGTTCTCCTCGGCCTTGCTGCCCTCGCAAGCGGTACTTCCTCCCCTCGAAACTACGAAACGAACGATTACTATGTTCTCGAGCTGGATTCGTCTACATCTCCCGGCCAGGTTGCCGACCGCCTGGGCTTGAGGCACGAGGGTACACTCGGCAGTCTCGACGGCCATCACATCTTCTCAGCTAGGAAGGTCGAGCACGACATCGTCAAGCCAGCTCTGCAGGAGCGCAAGCTGCGGAAACGCGCGCTTGGCGGCTCCGACGTCCTCGATGGCGTCCGTCTCTCGCAAAAACAGCAGCTTCGAAAGCCTTGGGAGAAGAGAGTCCCTCCGCGGTCGCATGGTCCCGCCAACTTCGCTCGCCAGGAGGCGGCCGACCCCAAGATGGTTGAGCAGATGAACGACCTCATGAAGACCCTCGGCATCGCCGACCCCATCTTCAATGAGCAGTGGCATTTGCTCAACACCGTCCAGCCAGGTCACGACATCAACGTCGCCGGCGTCTGGAAGTCGGGTATTACGGGCAAGAACGCAACCGTCGCCATCGTAGACGACGGTCTCGACATGTATAGCGACGACCTGAAGCCGAACTACTACGCCGCCGGTTCCTACGACTTCAACGACCACCAAGAAGAGCCCAAGCCTACCCTCAGCGACGACAAGCACGGCACTCGGTGCGCTGGTGAAGTGTCTGCGGCGAAGAACAACGTCTGCGGTGTAGGCGTGGCCTACGAATCCAAGATTGCGGGTATCCGTATCTTGAGCAAGCTGATTTCCGATGCCGATGAGGCTGTTGCGATGACCTACGACTACCAGCACAACGATATCTACTCCTGCTCCTGGGGCCCGCCGGATGACGGTCGATCCATGGATGCGCCTGGTATCCTTATTAAGCGTGCTATGCTCAAGGGCATCCAGCAGGGTCGTGGCGGAAAGGGATCCATCTACGTCTTTGCCAGTGGTAATGGTGCCGCGAACGATGACAACTGCAACTTTGACGGCTACACGAACTCCATCTACAGCATCACTGTTGGCGCGATTGACAGAAAGGGTCAGCACCCTTACTACTCCGAGAAGTGCTCGGCTCAGCTTGTTGTGACGTACAGCAGTGGCAGCGGAGATGCTATCGTATGTTCCCCAGAATCTCTTAAGTGACGCGACCAGAACTGATTGTTTGTGCAGCACACCACTGACGTCGGCCAAAATGCCTGCTACAACGGCCATGGTGGTACTTCCGCCGCTGCTCCTCTGGGTGCTGGTGTCTACGCGCTGGTTCTCGAGGCTCGCCCTGACCTCTCTTGGAGAGATATGCAATGGCTTGCCATGGACACTGCCGTGCCCATCGATGAGGCCAATGGCGAGTGGATGCCGACCAAGATTGGAAAGAAGTTCAGCCACACGTATGGATACGGCAAGATTGATGCTTTCAAGATGGTTGAGGCAGCAAAGGCCTGGAAAAACGTTAAGCCCCAGGCTTGGTATTACTCTCCTTGGATTCACGTCAACAAGGACATTCCCCAAGGCAAGGACGGCATCGCGGTCAGCTTCGACGTCAATGCGGATGCTCTGAAGCAGGCCAACCTCGAGAGACTGGAGCATGTGACGGTCACTATGAACGTGAACCACACACGCAGAGGTGACTTGAGCTGCGACTTGATCAGCCCTGAAGGAGTTACCAGCCACCTATCTGTGACTCGCAAGATGGACTCGGCCAAGTCCGGCTACGCTGACTGGACTTTCATGAGTGTAGCTCACTGGTAAGTTGAAAGAGAGAACGACGAGACGCTAGAATCTATATGCTAACTACAAACTAGGGGTGAATCTGGCATTGGCAAGTGGACCGTTGTGATCAAGGATTCCAACGAGAACGAACACAAGGGCACTTTCGTCGACTGGCATTTGAAGCTCTGGGGCGAGTCGATTGACGCTAGCAAGGCAACTCTCCTCCCCATGCCGACTGAAGAGGACGACCACGACCACGCGCTTGTCGCTACCACCACTCTGCCGGCTGCCATCACGACAATGACGCACCCTGCCGAGAATACTGCCTCTGTTGTCAAGCCCTCCGACCACCCCGAGCGGCCCACCAAGATCCAGTCTGGAGCCGACGCGACACCTACGGAGACTGGCAAGCCCACAGACACGCAAGAGACACCGGCGGCCACGACCAGCCCGTCGAACTGG